ATGCACCTGTGCAACAAGTAGCCATGAGGAAGGAAAGGAGGCACTTCCCACATTGGGGCCATCTCACTGAGAAGGCTTTGGAAAGAGCCGGGTCACACTGCTCTGGGACATTTTAGTTCCTTCGCTGTAAGCTCATGGTGGGATTTCCTGGCTGGCCAGGGTCTGGCTGCAGATCCTGAAGGCAAGAAGCCTGCTGGTCAATGGGAGTGAGTTCTGAGCTCAAAGAGCAGCTGCAAAGGGAAACCCCTCTGGGGGCCTGGAGCCACTGGCATTTGGGGATGCCGGAGATTGAAGGGCCCCCTGATGGAGGTTAGGGTCCTGGGCACCTTCTTGCTGTGAGATCCTGGGACTCGACAGTCCCAAGCTCTGAGGCATTGGAGTTTTTCATTCTAAAATTCGCCAAGGCCTGGCACATTGGCTCACACCTGTAATCTCAACACTTTGGGAGGCTGAGGCAGGGAGATCCCAGGAATTCAAGACCAGCCTGGACAATATAGCGAGAGCCCATGTCTGTTATTCTTTTTTTTTTTTTTTTCTGAGACAGAGTCTTACTCTGTTGTCCATTCTGGAGTGCAGTGGCGCAATCTCTGCTCACTGCAACCTCCCGGGTTCAAGCGATTCTCCGGCCTCAGCTTCCCGAGTAGCTGGGACTACAGGCACACGCCACGGCACACGCCTGGCTAATTTTGTATTTTTAGTTGAGATGAGATTTCTTCATGTTGGTCAGACTGGTCTCAAAACTCCTGACCCTCAAGTGATCCACCCTCCTCGGCCTCCCAGAGTGCTGAGATTACAGGTATGAGCCAAAGTGCCCTGCCTCTTTCACTTTTCTCGTTCTGCTTCCTCCTGTTCCTGCTACTGCCTCTCCAGGGTTGGGGAGTGGGAAGAAGGAATGGGAGGGAAAGGCAGTGTTGGTGTCACAGGACTGTTGTGTCTGGCCTCTGGGTGGCAGGCATCCAAGTGCTCTGTCCTTGTGCCAGCTGAGCGCTTGCCTGGGCAGGAGCTTTTCTATTTTCTCTTTTTTTTTTTTCCTTTCTTTTTTTTCTTTTTTTTTTTTTTGAGATAGGGTCTGGCTCTGTCACTAGGCTAGAGGGCAGTGGTGTGATCGTGGCTCACTGCAGCCTCTACCCCCTAGGCCCAAGTGATCCCCCCACCTCCGCCTCCTGAATAGCTGGGACAGAACCACAGGCATGCACCATCACGCCCAGCTAAGTTTTTTATTTTTTGTAGAGACAAGCTCTCACTATGTTGCCCAGGCTGGTCTCAAGCTCCTGCACTCAAGTAGTCCTCCCACCTCGGCCTCCTGAAGCGCTGGATTATAGGCATGAGCAACTGTCCAACCAGGATCTTTTCAAGACCCTTCACAGGCAGCTCCAGTGAGACTCATTCAGCCCATGGGGAGAGTCCCCAGAGCCTGGAGCTGCAAGGCTTCAGAAACCCCTAAGATTCTCTAAGTCTCCTATTCTAAGATTATTCCAAGGCTTGGAGGATTTCTACCCTCAGCCTGGTGTCGTTGGCCTAGCATCCTTCAGGAAAACTTTCTGGAGGGGATTTTTGGATTTCTAGGTCAACTGGAGTCAAGAGGGAAATAGGACCAGTGACCCAGAGCTCACAAACTAAAGTGAGTGTGTACCTAATGAAATAATTAGGAAGGTAAGGCTGTGTTTTTTTGTTGTTGTTGTTGTTTCTTTTTTTTTGAGACGGAGTCTCACTCTGCCGCCCAGGCTGGAGTGCAGTGACGCGATCTCGGCTCACTGCAAGCTCCACCTCCCGGGTTCACGCCATTCTCCTGCCTCAGCCTCCTGACTAGCTGGGATCACAGGTGCCCGCCACCACGCCCGGCTAATTTTTGTATTTTTAGTAGAGACGGGGTTTCACCATGTTAGTCAGGATGGTCTCGATTCCTGACCTCGTGATCCGCCCACCTCGGCCTCCCAAAATACTGGGATTACAGGCGTGAGCCACCGCACCCGGCGGTAAGGCTGTTTTTACAGAAGCACATGAACCCTATCTATCAAATACATCATGGCCAGTTTTTGATCCACAGACGACTTCTGGATTGCCCTGGCATTGGTCCCCTCTACTGGGGACAGGCTGATACCCTGATGACAAAAGAGGTCTTGGGTTGGGCAGAGGGCCTGAGAAAGGAAGGGCTAGTCTGGTCTGAGTCCTCCCTTTCTAATTGCAGAAGGCGCAGCCCCCAGCCCCACCCATGTGGCTGAGCTGACAACGATGGAGGTGGAGTCGGCAAGGCTGGAACAGGAACCCTGGGAGCCAGGAGGGCAGGAGGAGGAAGAGGACGGGGAAGGAGGGCCCACCCCTACCTATCTAAGCCAGGCCACAGATCTCATCACCCAGGCCCTGCGGGATGAGAAGGCAGGCGCTTATGCTGCCGCACTCCAGGGCTACCGAGATGGTGTACACATCTTGCTTCAGGGAGTCTCCGGTGAGTAGGGACTGAGGGTGGAGGGTCAGGCCTGGGTCCCAGGTGGGGCATTGATGAAGGGAGCAAAAAGCAAGCAATTCACAGAGCAGGAGCCCTTTTGCTCCTCACTGACCAGCTGTGTAACCTGGGCAGATTTTTGTTTCTGTCTTTGTTGTTTGTTTGTTTGTTTTGAGACGGAGTCTTGCTCTGTCACCCAGGCTGGAGTGCAGTGGCGCAGTCTTGGCTCACTGCAAGCTCCGCCTCCCGGGTTCACGCCATTCTCCTGCCTCAGCCTCCTGTGTAGCTGGGACTACAGGCGCCCGCCACTGCAGCCGGCTAATTTTTTGTATTTTTAGTAGAGACGGTGTTTCACCGTGTTAGCCAGGATGGTCTCGATCTCCTGACCTCGTGATCCTCCTGTCTCGGCCTCCCAAAGTGCTGGGATTACAGGCGTGAGCCACTGTGCCCGGCCTGTTTGTTTTAACACCTCTTGTGGCCTCAGTCTTCTTTTTTTTTTTTCTTTCTTTCTTTTTTTTTTTTTTTTTTTTTTTGAGAGTCTTGCTCTTGTCACAGGCTGGAGTGCAGTGGCACAATCTCGGCTCACTGCAACCTCCGCCTCCCAGGTTCAAGAGATTCTCCTGCCTCAGCCTCCTGAGTAGCTGGGATTACAGACGCCCACCACCATGCCTGGCTAATTTTTGAATTTTTAGTAGAGACGGGGTTTTGTGATGTTGGCCAGGCTGCTCTCGAACTCCTGATCTCAAATGATCTGCCTGCCTTGGCCTCCCAAAGTGCTGGGATTACAGCCGTGAGCCACTGCACCCGGCATGGCCTCAGTTTTCTTGTTTGTAGAATGGGAAGAATGGATGCTGGGCCCCAGAGAAGAGGGAAAAGCACATGGTGATACTCTGTGAATTGTAAAGGACCAGACCAGGGGTTCCGACTAGACCAGTGGTGCCCAGGTGCCTCAACTGAGCAGTCTCTCTCCACAGGTGACCCGTTGCCTGCCCGCCAGGAAGGTGTGAAGAAGAAGGCAGCTGAGTACCTGAAGCGGGCAGAGGAGATCCTGCGCCTGCACCTGTCTCAACTCCCACCCTAACAGGGAGTGGGCCCTTCCCTGGGACTCTTGCTCCTGCACTGCCAGCCCCTTCTCCTCTCCCCAGGGCCTAGCCCCACCTCCTGGTCTTGTAATCGCAGGGGCCATTTCTGTAGGTAACTGGACCAAGCATGAGAAAAATAATGAATTCTCAGTTCCCTGATTACACTTGCCACCTTGGAATCAAGGACTCACACTTCTGATCCTGCCTGTCTTTTTGTGTTTTTCTTGAGATGGAGTCTCACTCAGTCACCCAGGCTGGAGTGCAGTGGTGTGATCGCAGCTCACTACAACCTCCGCCTCCCAGGTTCAAACGATTCTCCTGTCTCAGTCTCCCTAGTAGCTGGCATTACAGGCACATGCCACCATATCCAGCTAATATTTTGTATTTTTAGCAGGGATAGGGTTACACCATGTTGGCCAGGCTGGTCTCAAACTCCTGACCTCAAGTGATCCACCCGCCTCATCCTCCCGAAGTGCTGAGATTACAGGCATGAGTCACTATGCCCGGCCCCTGCCTGTCTGTCTTGATGTGTGAGCAGCAGCTGTGGTCATTAAACCATTAGTTTACCCCTCTAGAAGTGGGGTCTGCAAACTCCCGCCTGCAGCCAAATCTGGCCCACCCCCTTTTTAATGTAAGGCCTGTGAGCTACAGTGGTTTTTACATTTTTTTAATGATTAAAAAAATCGAAATAATATTCTGTGACAGAAAGACAGATGAAATTTATATGTAACAGGTGAAAATTATATTAAATTTAAGAGTCTATAAATAAAATTTGTTGGAACACAACCAGGCTAATTCATTCAGTATTGTGATGGCTGCGTTCGCGCTACACCAGATGTTGAACAGTTGCAGAGTTGAGTCTTTGCCGCCTGCAAATCCCAAAACATTTACAACCTGGCCCTTTGCAGAAAACATTTGCTGAGCCCTGAGCTAGAAAATAGCACAGTCTCCAGGGAAATAGAGAATGACAAGACGATGAAGCCGGTCTATTGGGTGGAAGGGACGAAGGAGAGGAACCCAAAGCAGGGGTACCTGTCTCCGAGGCCCCAAAATCAAATCCTGATTGCTCAGCGGGCTGGAAGGCGTGGCCTCAGTCCCGCCCCGCCCCTCCTCGCCACAAAGCGGTTGGTGGCGGCAGGGACTACACCGGTGTATCATGGGAGCGGCCCAGGCTACCCGTTAAAAAACACTAAGGGGAGCGCGCAAAGCTGAACCTGGCGCTCGATGGGGGCCGTTAGCCGCCCCAGAGCGCGCGGAGCCGCAGAGGCGTCGCTGGACTACAACGCAGTGCATCTCGGGAGGCCAACTCCACAGGACCGGGTGAGAAGACAGAGGCGGCCCGATGGGCGGCCCGGAGGCCGGGGATCATGGCGGGCAGGCGGGCCCAGCCAGGTTCAGCCCCGCCCCACCGCTCCCCACCCCCAGCCGGCCTCGCTTGCCTTCCCGCAGCACCGCTGTCCCCGGGATGCTGAGCGCCCACCGTCTCCCCGCAGCCCCTCATGCTCGGCTGCGAGCTGCCCGTGGGCACCTGCCCGGACATGTGCCCGGCCGCCGAGCGCGCCCAGCGCGAAAGGGAGCGCCGCCTACACCGCTTGGAAGTGGTGCCGGGGTGCCGCCAGGACCCGCCCCGCGCCGATCCGCAGCGCGCGGTGAAGGAGTACAGCCGACCCGCCGCCGGCAAGCCCCGGCCCCCACCCAGCCAGTTGCGTCCGCCCTCCGTGCTGCTGGCCACGGTACGCTACCTGGCCGGTGAGGTGGCGGAAAGCGCCGACGCTGCCCGCGCCGAGGTGGCCAGCTTCGTGGCAGACCGCTTGCGAGCTGTGCGCCTGGACCTGGCCCTGCAGGGCGCGGGCGACGCCGAGGCAGCGGTGGTGCTGGAGGCGGCGCTGGCCACGCTGGTGGCCGTGGTGGCACGGCTCGGGCCCGACGCGGCGCGGGGACCTGCTGACCCGGTGCTGCTGCAGGCCCAGGTGCAAGAGGGCTTCGGCTCGCTGCGGCGCTGCTACGCGCGGGGCGCGGGACCACACCCCCGCCAGCCAGCCTTCCAGGGCCTCTTTCTGCTTTATAACCTGGGTGAGTCGGGGTCCTGGCGGCTGGGCAGAGCGTGGGGACAGGAGCCCACCATGACAGTGGAGGTAGGGAAAAGAAAGATTAGCTTTAACATCTTACCATTAGGCGCCTCCCAGGACAGCACAAGATCCACCAATCCCCGACATGGGACCTCGGGCCCATCTCGGGGTCTTACTTGTCTCAGGAATAAAAGTGGAGGGGCAAGGGTGGAACGGGAGAGTTGGCCTAAACAGTGATTTTAAAACTTTTTTTTTTTTTTTTTTGAGTCTGACTCTGTCGCCTAGGCTGGAGTGCAGTGGCTCGATCTCGGCTCACTGCAACCTCCACCTCCCTGGTTCAAGGGATTCTCCTGCCTCAGCCTCCTGAGTAGCTGGGATCAGAGGCGTGCCACCACACCTGACTAATTTTTGTATTTAGTAGAGAGGGGGTGTTTTACCATGTTGGTCAGGCTGGTCTCGAACTTCTGACCTCGTGATCCGCCCATCTTGGCCTCACAAAGTGCTGGGATTGCAGGTGTGAGCCACCGCACCCGGCAGATTTTCAAACTTTTTTTAAACCTCCCTGCCCAGTCAGGGTTACAAAGCAAACAAGAACACATATGCCCACGAATATACCTGAGACAGAAGTTTAAGGCATTAGAGATACTTTCTATGGGTGATGCATTCTAATAAACTCTATTATTTGTTACTTTGTTTGTTTTTGAGACAGAGTCTACCTCTGTCGCTTAGGCTGGAGTGCAGTGGCATGATCTTGGCTCACTGCAACCTTTGCCTCCCAGGTTCAGGCTATTCACCTGCATCAGCCTCCTGAAGAGCTGGGACTACAGGTGTGCGCCACCACGCCTGGCTAATTTTTGGATTTTTAGTAGAGACAGGCCAACACCATGTTGGCCATGCTGGTCTCGAACTCCTGACCTCCAATGATCCGCTCACCTCTGCCTCCCAAAGTGCTGGGATTACAGGCGTGAGCCACCGCACGTGGCCTGTTTTCTTATTTGTAGAATGTGTTTTTTGAGACAGGGTCTTACTCTGTTGCCCAGGCTGGAGTACAGTGGCTTGATCATAGTTCACTGTAGCCTCAACCTCCTGGGCTCAAGGGATCCTCCTGCCTCAGCCTTCTGAGAAGCTGGGACCACAGATGTGTGCAATCACACCTGGCTAACTTAAAACAAATTTTTTTTATAGAGATGGGGTCTCGCATGTTGCCACTTGAATTCCTGGGCTCAAGTGATCCTCCTGCCCCACCCTCCCAAGTAGCTGGGTGCCTGCCATCATGCCCAGTTAATTGTTTATTTTTGTCCACACTGCTCTTGCGAAGAAGGCATAGTAATTATCCCTGCTCTAGTGGGGGAAGAAATCGAAGCCCTGGGTGGTGAGGTGACTTGCCTGTTGACTCAGCACTGGTTAACAATAGCAGAGGTATGACCATGATTTTCTTTTAATTTTTTAAAATTTATTTTTATGTAGGGATAGAGTCTTGCCATGTTGACCAAGCTGGTTTCAAACTCCTGGGCTAAAGTGATCCTACCGCTTTGGCCTCCCAAAGTGCTGGGATTACAGGCATGAGGCACTGTGCCCAAACAAGCTCTGTTCTGGCTGGGCCCTCTCTACTAAAAATGCAGAAACTAGTTGGATGTGGTGGCACATGCCTGTAATCCCAGCTACTCAGGAGGCTGATGCAGGAGAATCGCTTGAACCTGGGAGGTGGTAGAGGTTGCCATGAGCCGAGAGCCACTATACTGCAGCCTGGATGACAAAGCAAATCTGTCTCAAAAAAAACAGGCCCTGTCCTATACAATTTTAACAAAATGCTGTTGACTTCACAACCTACTAATTGGTCAGAAGCCCTAGTTTACAAATGAGGCCCAAAGTTCCAGTGTCTGAGACTCTTCTGGAAGGGAAGCAGGGGCAGAGTCTCCTGAAGGAAGGGGCCTTCCCAGGTGTTGAGGGGAAGGTGGGGCAGAGTTGGCTCCCAAAACCATGGGTGCAGGGAAGCCAGGGTAGTGGGAAATCCAAGTCAGAAAACTTGGACTGGGGTCAGGCTCAACTACATACCCACCCTAGGACACTCTCAGGCGAATCATTAAATTATCTGGGCCCGCTTCCCAAATCCGTAAACCCTGCCCACTTCAGTGCTGTAAGGATCTGGACTGCAGGAAGTCAAGAGCCTGAGGCAACTCATTCAAATATGGGTCAGGGAAGGAGCCAAAGGCTGGCCCTTAGAGGGGAAAGGGAAGTTAGGCTAGGCCTAGAGAAGGGGTGTGGTCGAGAAGAGAGGAAGGACAAGGTGTTGGGAGGGGAGATGGGCCTGATCCTGTAAGGACCAGGCGTCCTCATTCTGGCTTCCTGCTCTCACAGGCTCGGTAGAAGCCCTGCGTGAGGTTCTACAGCTGCCCGCTGCCCTGCGCACCTGCCCGCCCCTCCGCAAGGCCTTAGCGGTAGATGCTGCCTTCCGAGAGGGCAATGCTGCTCGCCTGTTCCGCCTGCTCCAGACCCTGCCCTACCTGGCAAGTTGCGCTGTGCAATGCCATGTGGGCCATGCCCGCCGGGAAGCCCTGGCCCGCCTCGCTCGTGCCTTTAGCACCCCCAAGGGCCAGACCTTGCCTCTGGGCTTCATGGTCAACCTCCTGGCCCTGGATGGACTCAGGGAAGCACGGGACCTGTGCCAGGCCCATGGGCTGCCCTTGGACGGAGAGGAGAGAGTTGTGTTCCTGAGGGGTCGCTATGTGGAGGAAGGGCTACCGCCTGCCGGTACGTGCAAGGTGTTAGTGGATAGCAAACTTCGAGGACGTACCCTGGAGGAGGTGGTCATGGCAGAGGAGGAAGATGAGGGTGCGGACAGACCTGGGTCCCCAGCCTGAGGAGGGAGCGTGAGCCTCCCAGAGCCCCAGGACTGGGCCAGAGCACTTAGATTTCTTTTTCTATGGTTCCCAGATAATAAAAGGAACTTGTTTTGTTGGTACCAGTCACTAGATGTGATTTATTTGAGGGGCTGTTGTAGGGAGTTAGGATACACAGTATGTAGGGAGAGGAACGCAGACTAGGCAAGTCCTAAGGCACCCCATGCCTCACTTTCGCCACTGGTCCTTGGCCTTGATGATCTGAGTTGGCATCTGAAGTTGGCATTATGCATCCCATCTTCACCTACCCACCACCAAGAGCAGCTGGTGGTTTTGCCATCCCATCCCTGTCCCCTGCTGCCCACCCTCTGCCACCTAAGCACCAGGATGAGGGTGAGTTGCATTAGGGATTGCCACTCCCCTCATGGACCTCAAGCTATTGCCTGAGAAGCTTGAGAGGGTCCTGTGGTAGTGCCGCCTCCTGGCACCAGGGAAGACCAGGACATCTCAGGAAAGCAGGCAGGAGAGGGTTGGGGTAAAGGGAGGGCCTAAGAAAGAGGGCTGGGGTCAAAGGTCAGCCACAGGCAGAAGGAAGAGGGCTGGGGTCAGAGGTCCGCCACAGGCCTCAGGGTGGCTGCCGCACCCTCCAGGGCTGTCACCACAATGCTGAGCTGTCTCTGCACCTCAGCCCAAGCTTCAGATCCAGAGGCTGTGTCCCTGGCCCTGGAGCAGGCATTGGATAGGCCCGGGAATGTGGCTACGGAGCCCGTGCGAGTTGCCCAGAGCACATGGCTGACAGGAGAAATGGGACAGGATCAGGGTCAGTCAGGGGCCAGGAAAGAGAAGCCTGGACTTAGAACTGGCTTAGCTCCTGTACGCAGCTAGGCAGAAGAGCACCCCTCTCCACCTGTCTCTGAAGGCCAGGGGGCTCTTACAGCAGTGGCGGTTGGGGGAGGAAATGTAGGTTCCAGTCCTAGCTCCCAGAGGGACCCTGAAGCAACTTCCCTCCCTGAGCCTCACATTCCACCTTCTTCAGGGGCTGGGTTGCACTCTAAAGGGCAGAGAAGCTGAGCACCTCATCTCAGGTCGGGGGCCATTGCCCGGCCCCACCTGGCGGCACCTCCCAGGACTCTGGGACAGACTCACCTGTAGTAGCGTTCCTCTGGGAAGGCTCGAGGGTTCAGAAAGGTCCGTTCCAAGAGCATCAACTGGTCATTGAGCATCCGGACCTGCAGGGGACTGGTGGAGGCAGGACCTGCCGGTCACCCTGGAGCCAGCAGCCCAGCTATCAGCCTGGTATCCTGCCCTGGATGCTGCTCTCCCAACCCCTGCCCACTGCCCTTGCTCACTCGGGGCTGCCCTTCTGCAGCGCTGATATGCGTTGGCCCAAGGCTGCAGCTTCTGCCTCAAATTTCTCCACTGCAGTCACCAGAGGCCCTGTGAGGAACAGGCAGTGGCTTAGTCCTGGGGGTGCAGGGCTCCCCATGCCTCAGGGTCAGGCTGTGCATACCCAGGCTGATGCTGTGCTGCTCCAGCAGGGCCCCGAGGTCTTCCTGGGCTGCCTGCAGGAAGCTGCGGAGTGTCTCACTGTAGTCACTGACTTTGAGGGGCAGGAAGAAGCTGTCACTGAGCCGGAGAATAATACTCCCCGCTGTCCGGGCCACAGCCTGATGGCTGCTGAAGCCTGCGGCAAGGTCACAAGGCCAGGACTCAGTCTTCAGCCTCTCCTGTCCTGTTCTAAGGATGCCCTTTGTCTCCCTCCTCACCTGGGTCCAAAAACTTGTCCACATAGTCAAAGGTGTCAAAGGCTGTGTGGTAGGTGGGGTAGATCCTGGCTGAAGTCTTGCTCTGGGGGAACAAAGCCCAGAGGTGACAGGCTTGGGATGGGAAGGGGGAGAAGGTGTACCTCCAGTGAGCTACAAAATGTGGGCATTATCTCCATTGAATCTTGGCCATGTCTGTGAGGTGGGTTCTAGAACTCCCACAGAAAAGGAAACGGAGACTCAGAGAGGTTAACCTGCTGACATCACACAGCTAATTAGTGGAAGAGCTGGGTCTGGTGCCAGTTTCCAGTTTCACAGGAAGGAGAAGAACCTGGGGCTTTGGAGTCAGAGAGATTCAAATTCCAGCTCTGCTACGGAGAATTGCTGTGGCTGTGAGGTAGAGAACGTACTTTTTGGAGCATCAAACAGGGAGGTGCCAGCTGGGCACTCTGCAACCCTTGTTTTACCTTCATGCCAACGCTCACACCAATGATCTGAGTTAATCAATGCTGAGATTAACCTTTTTCCCCGCTACATTTTAAGATCTTTGGAAACAGAATGCTTCTTACAGGCAATGTCATCTTACAACTGGTTGGAAGCGGTGGGTTTTTTGCGGTGGGTTTTTTTCCCTTCCTGAATCACATCTTATAATCAGTAGTATCTTACATTTGATAAAATAACAGATGAGCATAAAGAGGTGCTTGAAAAGGTTAAACTTGGCAGAGCCCTGGCACCAAGGCTCACACCTGTAATCCCAGCACTTTAGGAGGCTGAGGTGGGAGGATGGTCTGAGCTTAGGAGTTCAAGACCAGCCTGGCAACAAAGCAAGACTCCGTCTATATAAAACGCGCGCACGCGTGTGTGTGTGTGTGTGTGTGTGTATTTTTAAGAAACTTGGCAGAGGTAGCAGTGAGTAAAGGAGCAGGGTTCAGTCTGTGCGAGAACAGCTCCAAAGAGAGGAGGGGGCGCATGCAGCAAGGTACCGAGGCAGGGACGGAGGGGCGCCTGCTCACCCGGTCATAGGTGTAGGCGATGTCCATGGAGGAGATGCCCAGGAAGTGAATGAAGGGTGCATAGTCGCTGCCAGCACCCAGAGAACCCAAGCTGCGGGAAGGAAGGGGGCCAGGATAAAGAGCGCTGAGCCGGACCGCCTCGCTCCGGGCCCCCTTCTATCCCTGGGCTCACCTGGGGACCAGGCCGTACACTGGGCTGCTGCGATTGAAGTACTGGATCCAGTTGTCGTAGATGCTCAGGTCGCCAGGGCCTGGTGAGCGGATCTGGCCGGAAGGAGAATTTAGTCTCGGTGCGGGGCCCTCCCCAGCCCCAACAACAGGGCGGGTCCTCCACCGTCTCCTGCCCACGCACAGTCCAGTCCTTCTTAAAAAGCTCGCCCCAGCCTCAGTCTGGCCCCAGCAGATCTGGAGAGTACCACTCCCCAGTCCCGCCCACCCGTGCGGCCCGTCCGCCGCACAGGCCAGCCCACCGCACTGCCCCGCCCCCGCCAGTTCAGCCCCGCCGGCCCGCCGCCTTCCAGCTCTTTGGTTGCAGAGAAGACGACACTCTGGACAGGGGGCGTCCCCTGCACCCTAAGGGTAGCGTTGGCTGTGGGAGGAGGGGAGAAAGACTATTTGGGCCCCAGCCCCTTCTTTTACCCACCCCGTTGTCAGGCCGTCCCCTTCCCTTTCCCTCCCCGCCACCTCCATACCAAACACCGCGATGTCCACATTGATGTAGGCCACAGTGCGCTCCTGCAGCTTGTTGAAAAACTCCTGCGGGTGCGAGGAGCGACGTCAGCCCCGCGCTGTTCTGCCTCGGGAACCCCTTTTGATCCCCTACCCTGTAGGGACACTCACTTCTGTGAATTCCGTGGAGCCAATGAGCCCAAACTCCTCAGCCCCCCAGCTCGCAAACACGATAGATCTGCGAGGACGCCAGGTGCCTGGGAATGGAGGACAGAGGGTTGGAGGACAGGGTCCTCCTGATCCTAGGGTGCCTTAGGAGAAAGGCTGCGGACGTGAGGAGGAGGGGAGAGCTGGAAAAGGCGGGGTAGCTGGTGACAGGAGGTCCTGGCACTCTGCAGCCAGGTCTTCCAGGAGGCTCCCGCACCAAACACTGAACACAACTCCAAGCCCCCTGAAGGGTCGGGTGGTCCCTTCTATCAGAATGCCCACTGCCCCTCTCTCTGTGGGCATGATCTGGGAAGACTTCTGACCTGCCACCCTCAACCCCCGCCTCCAGGCCAAACTCCATAGCCATCTTCACTTGGTGATAACACATGAACATTTCCTGTTAGGGTGTTATCCACATTGAACCAATCCCTACAACAATGCCTTGAGGGAGATACTATTATTATTTCCATTCACAGTTGAAGAAACAGAGAAGCTAAATGACTTTCCAGGGTCCCAAGGCTGGTAGGCAGCAGAGCCAGTTTCAAATCCAGATATTTGGCTCCACACTGTGGGTATAGGGATTGGAGGTGGAAGCCAGGCTGCAGGATGCTCCGCCTCCCGGGTTCAGGCAGAAGAATTGCTTGAGCCTGGGAGGTAGAGGTTGTAGTGAGCTGAGATTGTGCCACGGCATCCAGCCTGGGTGACCTAGTGTCACTCTGTGGCCCAGGTTGGAGTGCAGTGGTGCGATCTGGGCTCACTGCAGCCTCAACTTCCTGGGGTCTAGCGATCCTCTCACCTTAACCTCCCAAGTAGCTGGGACCACAGGCACACACCACCGCACCTGGCTGATTACTGTATTTTTGGTAGAGATGGGGTTTCTCCATGTTGCCCAGGCCAGTCTTGAACTCCTGAGCTCAAGCGATCCACCCACTTTGCCTCCCAAAGTGCTGGGATTACAGGTATGAGCCACCGCAACCAGCAAATGAATTTTTCAGTGTGATGTGATCACATGCTTGCAATTACACATTTTTACACTTTTTTCTGCCAAAAATATAATCTAAATCAAATGAGACAAATCCAAATTGAGGGTTATTTGACAAAATAATAGGATAATAATTGCAGAATCATGAAACACAAAGAACAGCTAAACAATTATTATAGATTAAAGGAAACTAGTGACCAGATCACTAGTGTGATCCTGGATTGGAGCTTGGGCCAAAAAATTATTTTGCTATCAAGGTCATTATCACGTCCCAACACTTTGGGAGGCTGAGGCGACGAGGATCACTTAAGCCCAAGAGTTCGAGAGCAGCCTGAGTAACACAGCAAGACCTTGTCTCTACCAAAAGTAAAAAATTATCAGAGCTTGGTGGCACACATGTAGTCCCAGCTAATCAGGAGGCTGAGGCAGGAGGATTGCTTGAGCCCAGGAGGTCGAGGGTGCAGTAAGCTGTGATTGTACCACTCCACTCCAGGCTAGGCAACAAGGTGAGACCCTGTCTCAGAAAGGTTTTTTTCTTTTTTTCTTTTCTTTTTTTGAGGCAGAGTCTCACTCTCATCAACTAGGTTGGAGTACAGTGGCGCAATCAGCTCACTGCAACCTCTGGCCCCCAGGTTCAAGCGATTCTCCTGCCTTAGCCTCCCGAGTAGCTGGGATTACAGGCGCGCACCACCATGCCCAGCTAATTTTTGTATTTTCAGTAGAGATGGGGTTTTACTCTGTTGGCCAGGCTGGTGTCGAACTCCTGATCTCAGGTGATCCACCTACCCCGGCCATCCAAAGTGCTGGGATTATAGGCATAAGACACCACACCCGGCTGGAAGTATTTAAAAGTTGTGGAAAATTGGTCGGGCACAGTGGTAGAGGTTGCAGTGAGCTGGATTGCGCCACTGCACTCCAGCCTGGGTCACAGAGCGAGACTGCATCTCAAAATAATAATAATAATAATAATACTTCAGACAAAAACATATATAGTTATATTATAAATAGCTAAGGCTTTTTTCCCCTATTTTTTGTAGAGACGAGGGTCTCACTATGTTCCCAAGGCTGGTCTTAAACTCTTGGGCTCAAGCAATCCTCCTGCCTCTGCCTCCCGATGTACTGGGATTATTGGCATAAGTCACCATGCCTGGCCCATATGTTATACATAGACAGACAGAAAGCAAATGTGGTGAAACATTAATATTAGGAGTGTCTGTATAAGAGGCTTCTTTGTACTATTTTTACATCTCGGTAAGTCTGAAATTATTTCACCATAAAACACTTCGACAAACAAAAAAATACAGGAATTTCTGTGCTACCCATAAGGGTAAAGTTGAAAGCCCAACCTCTCTCAAGCTTGCCCACTCCCTCCACCCATGGCTTCTGAGCTGATCTCAACCACACTTGTGGTTTCACAGACCATTTTGCTACCAACTCCCCAAGTCATCTCTCAAGTCTTTCTTTCTTTCTTTCTTTTTTTTTTTTTTTTGAGACAGGGTGTTGTTCTGTTGCAGGCTGGAGTGCAGTAGTGTAGTGTGATCATGGCTTACTGCAGCCTCCACCTGCCAGGCTCAAGCGTTCTTCCCACACAGCCTCCGAAGTAGCTGGGACCACAGGCGCATGCCACCACGCCTGGCTATTTTTTTATGTTTATTTTTTCATAGAGACAAGGTCTCACTATGTTGGCCAGGTTGGTCTTGAACTCCTGGGCTCAAGCAGTCCGCCCACCTCGACCTCCCAAAGTGCTGGGAGAACAGGCATGAACCACTGTGGCCAGACTTCAGGTCTCATTTCTGAACTGTGACATCATATTATACAAGGAGGGGAATGGAGCTTGATAGCAGTGGCGTGTTTGTGTGCAATTAAAGTTGAGTGGGTATCGGTTCAAATGCCATGCTTAGCACTCCGGGATGTTATATGTAAGGCAAGATGAAGAAGTTCTCGAGCCGATGGCAGTGATGGTTGCACAACTTTAGAAATGTACTTAATGCCACTGAATCAAATACTTACAAATGTAAAACTGGTCAATTTTGTTATGTATATTTTACCATGAATTTTTTAAACTAACAAAAGAGGGCCTGGCATGGGAACACAATGCCTGGGGATCACTTGAGTCCTGGAGTTCAAGACCAGCTTAGGCAACATAGTGAGACCCCGTCTCTATCAAAATAAATAACTAAAACTGAAACAAGAAATCAATATGGGAAGACCCGGATTCACATCTTCCTTCTCGATCTGTCCTAGATCCGCCCAGTTCTGTTTTTCATAAATGACACTAACGTCGAGTCCCTTAGACCAGAGCCGTTGACTTGTCCTCTCTCTTGCCCCTGGAGCCAGACCCAGGCCCAGCAGCCTGTCCCTGCCCCACTGCCCTCCATCCTGGTCCAAGCCCCACAGCATCTCCAGCCTTGGAATGACAAGGCTCTACCTGGCCCCCCTACGTGGCTTGCCCTCCCTGACCTCCTTTTCTTTTAGACGGAGTCTTGCTCCATTCCCCAGGCTGGAGTGCAGTGGCATGATCTCAGCTCACTGCAACCTCCGCCTCCCAGGTTCAAGTGATTCTCCTGCCTCAGCCTCCCAAGTAGCTGGGACAACAGGCGCATACCACCACACCTTGCTAATTTTTGTATTTTTAGTAGAGACGGGATTGCACCATGTTGGTCAAGCTGGTCTTGAACTCCTGACCTCATGATGCACCTGCCTCGGCCTCCCAGAGTGCAGGGATTACAGGTGTGAGCCACTGTGCCTGGCCAGATGGGGTTTTACTGTGTTGGCCAGGCTAGTGTCGAACTCTTGACCTCAGGTGATCCACCGACTCTGGCCTTCCAAAGTGCTGGGATTACAGGCATAAGCCACCATGCCCAGCCTTCACCAGCTTCCCACAACCCTTGGACTGAACTCCAAACTCCCAGCCTGGCCTGGCACTGCCTGCTCTGTCACCTCACCCAGCCCTGCCCACCTCCTTTCCGGCTGCCACCTCCTTGCCCTCCTCCCCTTCCCTGAAGCACTGAAACATTGAAGTGCTGCCTCTACTGAGAGACTTGTCCCAACCTGGCCTGGCACATCAAAGGCACATGAGATATTAGAGACATCAGAGTTAGCAATCGGCTGCCATCCCTGACCCAGCTGAACTAAAGCTCCCAGAGGGCAGAGCCTGGGCGCTGCCTGCTTCACAGCAGCATCGGGCCTCGCTCCTTCCAGGCACACTGGAGGCACTTGGAAGCTGCACACGAATCAACCCACAGTCTATTCCCTGTACCACACTGGGCTGCTGCAGGCCAAGGCTGGTGTCATGCATTTCTGCCCCCAGGGCCCTCAGGCATGGCACAGGAAGCACTGCAGTGTGAGGGAGAGGAGGTGGAACAGGAAGGGGACCTCCAGGGGCAAAGGTCCCTGGTCCAGGGGAGGGGGCCGCCTCACCCTTCTTCAGCAGGGTCCCCAGGACGCGGGAGAGCTCCAGGAGGACGGCGGTGCCACTGCTGGGGTCCACGGCCCCGTGCACCCAGCTGTCTCGGTGGTTCCCATATAGCACATAGCGATCTGACCAGAGGAAAAGGGGCAGAGAACCAGAGGAGAGGGAGAGGTGGGCACGGGGAGCTGGGCTGGGTGGTGACACAGTAGCAGTGGCACCCAGAGCACAGCAGGGGCCTGGGAAACAGTCAGCAAGAGGAGGGCTCACCAGGCTCCACAGCCCCGCGGATGATGCCCAGGACGTTGGAAGAGTTCCTTAGCTCCAGGCGGTTGTAGACGCTCACGTTCACCTGGCTGGGGAGGGTGAAGGGTGTGAGGAGACTCTTGGCCTTGCCCACTGCCCCCAACCCAATGCAGGAGACACCGAGGCCCGGAGCCAGAAAGTGACGTGGCAAGGTCGTTGGCCCAGAAGTACCAAGAGAGGCAGCAAGGCTGGAGCCAGGCTCTCCTGCTCACTCACTGGGGAGGTGCTTATTGGGTGCTCAGTCCCTGACTAGGCTCTGGGCAATGACTGCGACAGATGCGGACCTGGTGCTCATGGGGCCTCCCTCTCCCGAGTGAGACAGACCACGAGGACAGGAACAGCTGGGTGAAGGGGCCTGGGAGGAGAGGGCACCTGGAGGCCACGGGGTGCTGCAGGGAGGGAGGCTGGTGCATGTCAGGAGTGGCAGTGGCCCTGATTTGGGAAGGAGCTTGGCATCTTTAAGAGAGGGAGTCGTGGGGTGCAGATGTCGAGATGAGGTGGGAGGGGCAGGGGAATCCAGGGGCTTCCCCAAAGACAAGACAGATATTTTGGGGTCAGGAGAGGGTCTGGGAGAGAGAAGAAAGGGAAAAAGGTCAGGCTTTGAAGTGGAAAGAGGGAACATAATCACGAGGGAAGGGGAGAGGCAAGTTGGGGGAGAGGGCAACTGAGGGAGAACTGGTCTGGCTGCATCTCACCTGTCTGCTGAGAAGTTTCCATCAGGCCGGAAGCCGGGACCCAGACTGTAGGGGCAGCCCAGTGCTCCCTGCCAGGTGGCTGGGGCCAAAGTTCCGTTGAGGTTACTGGGGAGGAGGAATAGACCCCTCAGGGTAAATGTCAGTGTGGGGCTTGAGGTCTGGAGGCCACTGGGGGCTGGGCAGGACATCCCAGGGAACAAACTCACCAGAGCAGGTCTCTGGCATCCTGGAAGCCAATGGGCTGTGTAGGAATTGGGGGAAACCCGGAGACATTGGCAAGGTCCAGGCGGAAGGAAGAGGGGATGGCTGGAAGGTAGGGAGTCAGAGGGTCCCCAAAATACTTGTAGTAGGAGCCTCGCTCCACTCCTGAGGGTGGCAGGTACCAGGAGTTGGGAAAGGTTTCGTTGGGCAACCTCAGCCCATCGTTGATGTCGGCAGGGTCTGTGTACACCAGCACCCCGGCCACCCCGTGCTTGGCAGCATTCACAGCCTGCAGTGGCAGAGGAGGCTGTGTGTAAGGGAGGGACTGGACCGGATGTGTCCTGTTCCTCTTCCTCCTTCCTCAACTATGGAAGCCAGGATAGACCAGTCTTCCCATGGGCAAGATGATGTTTGCACAAGTCATTTATGGCAGTGCCTCTTGCAACAGCAAAGGTCATTTCGGCACAGCCAAGTCAGTGCCTATCAGTGGAGTCTGGCTGAATAACGGGGATATCCTACAGTGGAATACCATGAAGCTGCATAAAATAACATGGTTGTGTACTCGCGTCCACAGCAACGTTATCCTCAACGGCCAAGAGGAAGAAATAGCCCAAGTGTCTATCAACAGATGACTGGCTAAACCAAATGTGGGCTGTAACATACAGTGAAGGCCGGGTGTGGTGGCTCATACCTGTAATCCCAACACTTTGGGAGGCCGAGGCAGGCAGGTCACCTGAGCTGGGATCACCTGAGATCAAGACCAGCCTGGCCAACATGGTGAAACCTTGTCTCTACTAAAAATACAAAAATTAGCCAGGTGTGGCTACACCTGTAGTCCCAGCTACTTGGGAGGCTGAGGCACAAGAATCGCCTGAACCTGGGAGGCAGAGGTTGCAGTGAGCTGAGATCATGCTACTGCATTCCAGCCTGGGTGACAGAGCAAGACGCCGTCTCAAAAAAAACCCCAAAAAACAAAAAACAAACAAACAAAAATAATGGAATATTATTCAGCCTAAAAAGAAATAAAGTTCTGCCGGGCGCGGTGGCTCAAGCCTGTAATCCCAGCGCTTTGGGAGGCCGAGACGGGCGGATCACGAGGTCAGGAGATCAAGACCATCCTGGCTAACCCGGTGAAACCCCGTCTCTAGTAAAAAATATAAAAAAATAGCCGGGCGAGGTGGCGAGCGTCTGTAGTCCCAGCTACTCGGGAGGCTGAGGCAGGAGAATGGCGTAAACCCGGGAGGCGGAGCTTGCAGTGAGCCGAGATCCGGCCACTGCACTCCAGCCTAGGCGACAGAGCGAGACTCCGTCTCAAAAAAAAAAAAAAAAAAAAAAAGAAATAAAGTTCTGATACGTCAATGAGTCTTGAAGATGTTATGTTAAGTGAAATAAGCCAGACACAAAAAGACAAATATCTTATACTTTCACTTATGCAAGGTCCCTAGAATAGGCAAATTCATAGAAAGTAGAATTGAGGTTACAAAAAATAGAATAGGGGCTGGGGCAGGGACCTGGGGAGTTATTGTTAAATGAAGTGTCTGTTCGAAATGATGAAAAGGTTCTGGAAATGGGTAGTGGTGATGGTTAATTAATCATCTGTGTATTTCTACACTATTTGTTCCCCTTTCTTTTTCTTTTCCTTTTTTCCCTTTCTTTTCTTCCTTCCTTTCCACTTTCCTTCTTTCTTTCTCTTTTCCCAGCTCTTATTATAGACACTTTTTTTTTTTGAGACGAAGTCTTGCTCTTGTCCTCCAGGCTGGAGTGTAATGGTGCGGTCTCGGCTCACCGCAACCTCTGCCTCCTGGGTTCAAGCGATTCTCCTGCCTCAGCCTCCTGAGTAGCTGGGATTACAGGCGCCCGCTACCATGACCGGCTAATTTTTGTATTTTTAGTAGAGACGGGGTTTCACCATGTTGGCCAGGCTGGTCTCAAACTCCTGACCTCAGGTAATGCGCCTGCCTTGGCCTCCCAAAGTGCTGGGATTACAGGCGTAAGCCACCGCGCCCGACCCACTTTTTAAAAAATTGTGGTAAAATACACATAACGTAAACTTAGCATGTGGAGTGTGCAGTTCAGTGGCATGAAGTACATCCATGTTGTTCAACCATCACCACCATTCATCTCTAGAACTCTTTTCATCTGACAAATCTGAAACTTTGTCCCCATTAAATACCAACTCTCCCTTCCCCTCTCTCATTCTACTCTTTTTATATTAATTTTTTTTTTTTTTTAAGAGATGGAGTCTCGCTCTGTCACCCAGGCTGGAGTGCGGTGGTGCAATCTTGGCTCACTGCAACCTCCACCTCCTGAGTTCAAGCAATTCTCCTGCCTCAGCCTCCTGAGCAGCTAGGACTACAGGTGCACGCTGCCGTGCCTGGCTAATTTTTTTTTTTTTTTTGTATTTTAGTAGAGACGGGGTTTCACCATGTTGCCCAGGCTGGTCTCGAACTCCTGAACTTAGGCAATCCGCCTGCCTTGGCCTCCCAAAGTGCTAGGATTACAAGCGTGAGCCACCATGCCCACGTCCAGCTTTTTTTTTTTTTTTTTTTTGATCAGAGTCTCGCTATCTCCCAGGCTGGAGAGTGCCATGGTGCAATCTCAGCTCACTACCATCTCTGCCTCCCAGGTTCAAGCAGTTCATCTGCCTGAGCCTCCCCAGTAGCTGGAATTGCAGGCATGCACCACCATGTGTGGCTAATTTTGCCTTTTTAGTAGAAATGGAGTTTCGCCATGTTGGCCAGGCTGGTCTTGATCTCCTGACCTCAGGTGATCTGCCCACCTTGGCCTCCCAAAGGGCTGGGATTACAGGCATAAGCCACTGCGCCCGGCCCCTAGTCAGAATTTTTGATGGAAAGGAAATGGCAGGGACAAGGAGAGGGCCAACAGGAGGGACTTAAGCTGAATATTCAGAACTACTTCACAGGAGGACTTAGACTTCCAGAATACCAAACCTGAAAATTGTACTCAGCCCCTTTATTTCCTATAGCTCAGAGAGGGTCAGGGAGGCATCCGAGGCCACACAGCCCCTTGGTGGGACAACCTGAAAACACCTCACCTTTCCTGCCCCACCCCAGGGCTTGGGTCCCCACTCAACACTGCCCCTTCTCCTTCCCTTTCCCCTCACTTCCTCCAGTCCACTGCCCGGCCCCTTCCTCACCCAGGCCTTGTGCACTGGGGGGCTGCCACTCACCTTGGCCCCACGCCCTACACCCCCATAGCGAGTCAGGGCGATGGTGCCTTCGAGGTTGATGCCCTGAGTCTGTAGCTCCTTAAAGTCTTCTTCCGTGCCACGGTTGGCATAGACGAGGAGGCCCTAGTCCCAAGAGGGGGTGATCCTTAGAGCTGGGCCCAGCGAAGGGCGGGTGGGGAAGGGGTGGGGGAAGGCTGGATGGCAGGAGGGAGAATTTAGATTCTGTTCCTCCACCTCACCCAGAGCATGTAAGCTCCCCAAGGACAGTCACCCCTGGTTTCCTCCATGTCTGGGTGCCCTGTAACAGGCCTGGCCTTAAGCAGAGCCACTAGTGTTTGTTGAATGACTGATGGAGGAAAGGAGCAGCGATGGAGTGTCCAGGTGAGTAAATTCGGGAGGGGGCGCTGTGCCCCAGTTGAGGCATGTTCCCTGGGTCAGGGTGGGGAGAACCCTAGGTGGAAACAAGGGACCTGGGCCAGGGCAGTAGGGGGGTTCCGGGCCCACCTGTGGGGTTCCAGAAGGAGCATAGGCGGCATAGGGTTGTACCACATCTGGCCCCCCTTGCTCCCCGGTCACATTCTCCTCGGTCCGGTGGCAGGAGTGGATGATGTCCCCGGTGGGGCCCACTGTTGGAGGGGGTGGTAGTGTCATGGCTGGGCCCAGCAGCTTCCCCCCACCAACCCTCTGGGCATTCCCAAGGCTGGGCAGGACCTCACCAATGTCCACGACGTTGGGCTGCTCCTGGCTAGGGAAGGACAGCAGCACCTCGTACGTGAAGGCCTCGGCCGAGTCCAGGCCTGACTCTGGGTCCTTCCAGCGCTGTAGCAGCAGCTGCACCAGATCCTCATCCCGAGGGCTAGAGGCCAGGTGTGGCTCCCTGGAGAGTTCTCTGCAGGGTGGGCAGAGGGAAGGGCAGGGCCAGCATCAGGGAGGGGGCCTCTGGCAAACGGAGGAGCAGACGGCCCCACCTCTCACCTGAGGTTCTCCCGGATCCTGTGGGCATCCAGCTGCCCCATGACGGTCTCCAGGATCTCCAGGTCCAGGTCCTGGGGGGCTGAGACGCTGGGGGCCGGTGAGTTGGCTTTTTTGGGAATGGCAAAGTGGCCCAGGATGATCCCCAGCCCCAAGAGGGCAGCAGCCCCCAGCCCCAGCCCCAACACCTTCGTCCACTGCATCCTGCAGACTCTTAGCCAGCTGGTGTGGGACTGGTCTATAGGTTATTCCCTATAGAGGGGGTGTCGGGCCTGGTTAACCATTACCCCATGGGTGGCACTGCCCTTTGACCCCCAGCTGGCAGGGAGAGTGAGGGAACATCCCGCAGTGAGAGCCAGGAGCCATCCACATCCACCACATTCTGCATCATTTACCTGGAATGGCCCTCCAAGGGCAACAAGGTCGCCCAGGGACACAGGCCCAGAGGGAAGGGTCTCATCCGGGGTATCCCAGGAAAACAGAGGCCAAGCCAGGGCTGGAACTCAGAGCTCCTGTGTTCACAGCAGGGCCGTGCCCACTGGCCACCCTCACTGCCTCTGCCTCCCTCCAAGGCGGCTAATCTGCAGCACACCCAGCCCTGCCTGCCTGAGCAGATTTTGAGTTGAGATCCCCTCTTTGCTGGACGTAAGCTGTGTGACCTTGGGCAATTCACTCAGCTTCTCTACGCCTGTTTTCCTTTCTTTCTTTTTTTTTTTTTTTTAGACTGTGTCTTGCACTGTCACCCAGGCTGGAGTGCAATGGCGTGATCTCGGTTCACTGCAACCTCTGCCTCCCAGGTTCAAGCAATTCTCCTGCCTCAGCCTCCCAAGTAGCCGGGATTACAGGTGCCCACCACCATGCCCGGCTAATTTTTTTATTTTTAGTAGAGACGGGGTTTCACTATGTTGGCCAAGCTGGTTCTCGAACTGCTGACCTTGTGATCTGCCCACTTTGGCCTCCCAAAGTGTTGGGATTACAGGCGTGGGCCACTACGCCCGGCTGCTCCTGTTTTCTTAGCTGCACAGTGGGGATAATAAAACCTGCTTCACAACGCTCTGGTGTCATTTTTTTTTTCTTCTTCGTCTTTTTTTTTTTTTTTTTTTTAGTCAGGGTCTCACTCTGTTGCCCAGGCTGGAGTCTAGTGGTGCGATCTCAGCTCACTGTAACCTCCACCTCCCAGGCTCAAGAGATTCTCCCGCGTCAGCCTCCCAAGTAGCTGGGATTATGGTATGCACCACCATGCCTGGCTATTTTTTGTATTTTTAGTACAGACGGGGTTTCACCATGTTGGCCAGGCTGGTCTCGAACTCCTGATCTCAGGTGATCCATCCGCCTCGGCCTCCCAAAGTGCTGGGATGACAGGAGTGAGCCACCGCACTCAGTTATGGTTTGTCATTTTCGTTAAACAAGATGGCATCTGTAGAAATAGCTAGTGCAGGCTGGGCGCGGTGGCTGAAGCCTGTAATCCCAGCACTTTGGGAGGCCGAGACAGGCGGATCACGAGGTCAGAAGATCGAGACCATCCTGGCTAACATGGTGAAACCCCGTCTCTACTAAAAAATACAAAAAACTAGCCGGTCGAGGTGGCGGGCGCCTGTAGTCCCAGTTACTCGGGAGGCTGAGGCAGGAGAATGGCGTAAACCCAGGAGGCGGAGCTTGCAGTGAGCTGAGATCGCGCCACTGCACTCCAGCCTGGACGACAGAGCGAGACTCTGTCTCAAAAAAAAAAAAAAGAAAAAGAAAAAAGAAATAGCTAGTGCAGTGTCTGACATGTAGTGGGAGCTCATTAATTTTAACTACTCATCCCTCATCTGACCATCAAAAACAGAAGGCCTAGAGCTAAAGGAAGGAGGAGGACCCAGAAGAATTCTCCGCATCTATCCTGAAGGGAGCCCAGCGATGCGAGGAGTGGGAGTCCTGGGAAGGGAGGCTGTCCCAGAGGACGCGGCAGGGGAAGCCCATGCCTCCCTGGCGAGTTGACTTCCTCTTCTATTCCCTGGCTCTGCCTGGACTCTGTCATCCACCCTCCTATTTATGCATCCACCTATCCCTCCATTCACTTACTCATTCCTTCCCTTGTACATGCAAGTACTGTTCATTCTGCACTGTGCTAGAGCCATGCAAGGCCATGGGGAAGCAAAGTCCAGCAGGCGAGGCAGACAGGCTTCGGGTTCAGCCATGTGGAAAGTGCCCTGTAGAGGGAGGACCACCATGCTCCCAGTGAGAGAGCGAGTTCTGTCTAGGAGGGAACATCTGCGGGGGTCCTCTAAGGCTGAGAAGGTGTTCCAGCATGTGCAAGGGCTGAGAGGGAAGTGACACTTCAAGTACGCCATACACATAGTGAGCCTCTCTTCCAGACCTCACGGAGAGCCAGGCGGGGCTGCGGGGGTCCCTAGGGACTTGAGCTAGGACTTCTCCCACCCTCCCACGGCCTCTCCTGCCTTAACTCTGCCTCGCAGGTTGCAGCCCATGGATGGGCTCAAAGATGCCTGCAGAGCTTGGGGGCTGGGTCAGGGCAGTGTGTGTGTGTGTGCGCGCGCCCGCGCGCCCTCGTGTGCGTGTGCGTGTGCGTGTGCGTGTGCGAGATTTCACAGACCCCCCTCAGAGCAGCCTCCTTCCTGCTCACAACCCCATTTTGTGGACACCACCATCTGTTGTGCTGCTGGTGAGGAGGGTCAGCATGAGAGGACTAGGGGTGTCTGGGAGGGGATGTGGTGTGATCAGTGACTTCAGGGAGGTGCACCAGGAAGCCACAGTTCTTGGCAAGGTGATTATCGACGCCCAGAATATGACCTTGGATCTTATCAGAAACCCATCAGTGCAGGGAGCATACACCTTCCTTATGAAGACACAGGACAGTCACCACCAGGTGGGGAGTGGGACGCCAAGGTCAGCTGATAAGTTGAGGGACTGAGGCAGCAGCCACATGGTCCTACCCCACCCACTCCTGGAAGGATTTTTTTTTTTGAGACGGAGTCTAGCTCTGTCGCCCGGGCAGGAGTGCAGTGGCCGGATCTCAGCTCACTGCAAGCTCCGCCTCCCGGGTTCACGCCATTCTCCCGCCTCAGCCTCCCGAGTAGCTGGGACTACAGGCGCCTGCCATCTCGCCCGGCTAGTTTTTTTGTATTTTTTTAGTAGAGACAGGGTTTCACCGGGTTAGCCAGGATGGTCTCAATCTCCTGACCTCGTGATCCGCCCGTCTCGGCCTCCCAAAGTGCTGGGATTACAGGCTTGAGCCACCGCGCCCGGCCCCTGGAAGGATTTAACCCCTCCATCATATGAAGTCACAAACAGGACGCCTGGACAGGAGTGTGTGACATCTGAGTGATGACTCCTGGGAATGTGGTTTGTGTCGGAGAGTGTGCAAACAGCTGTGTGTGTGACACCCAAGAGATTCACTCAGGCTGTTGGAATCCACTGGTGTCTACATGGCTGTAGGCACCAGACATTAACTTGGTCAATTTTCCTTCCTCCATCTTTGCTGGGTGGGTGGTATGGCCCCTCCCAGAACATTCTGGATTGTGGGAGTTCCTGGAAATCACTTAAGGTAGTTAGAGCACATGAACACCTTTCATTTTCCTGCCTTATTCTCCCAATGGCTCTGGCTCCAAGGGGTCTTCAATCCTCCAGGACCAGCAATGCACTGCTGCTGGCTGCCTCCCCACTCTCCACCTGCCCCACACGCTCGCCTCCGTCACACCCTTCTTCACCTCCCACGTGTACTCACCTTGCCCAGTTTGAGGCCCTGGAAGCCCTCTCAACCCCCAATCCTCTCTGCTTTGGTCACATCCACTGGGAAAACCCCATTCTGGTTACACCTGACTCACTCTCTGCTTCCTCTGCGCCTGCACCCTTGCCCCTGGATGTGCCTGCAGAGTCATGTGGCCTCCTGGATGCCATATTGTGAGGACACTCAAGCAGCCCTGTGGACAGGCCTCATGGTGAGGCGCTAAAGCCTCCTGCCAACACTCAGCACTAACTTGCCAGCCCTGTGAATAAGCCACGTTGGAAATGGTTCTTCCAGCACCAGTCAAGCTGTCAGAATACAGCAGCCCCTGCTGCCAGAATCTTGACTGCAGCCTCAGGAGAGTCCTTCAGCCAGTACCACCCAACAAAGCCACTTTCAAATTCTTAACCTGTGGACACTGTGTGAGATAATACATGTTTATGGTTTTAGGCTGCTAGGTTTTGGAGTAATTCGTAACACAGCAAAATAGAGAACCAATACAAATGACCAAATGTAGACCAGAAACCCACAAGTAAATGTCTCCAGTCTAACCTATCCCCTGAACTCTTGTATTTTCAGCTGCCTAATTTTTTTTTTTTTTTTTTTTTGAGACAGAGTTTTGCTTTTGTTGCCCAGGCTGGAGTGCAGTGGCGTGATCTCGGCTCACCACAACCTCTGCTTCCCAGGTTCAAGTGATTCTCCTGCCTCAGCCTCCTGAGTAGCTGGGATTACAGGCATATGCCACCATGCCCAGCTAATTTTGTGTTTTTAGTAGAGATGGGGCTTCTCCATGTTGGTCAGGCTAGTCTCAAACTCCCAACCTCAGGTGATCTGCCCACCTCGGCCTCCCAAAGTGCTGGGATTACAGGCGTGAGCCACTGTGCCCGGCCTGCAGTAGCCTCTTAACTGGCCTCTCTGATTGTATTCTTGTCTCCTCCAGTTTTTTCTCTACGTAGCAGTCAGACTCAGCTTTGTGAAACCCAGGTCGGCCATGTCACGACCGTGCTCACAGCCCTCCAAGTCTCCCTTCACACTCAGAATGACAGTCATGACAGTGACCATAGAGCCCTTCATGTCTCCGACCTGGTCCCCTCCCTGTCCTCCTCACTCACGGCTCCTGCAGCTCTGGCCTGCTGCTGTCCCCTGAGCCTACCAGGCATGCTCCTGACTCAGTGCCTTCGTGTTGGCAGCTCCGGCTCCCTAGAACCCTGCTCCCCAGTTGTCCACAGGGCTCCTTCCCTCAGGTCCTTTGTGTCTTTGCTCAAATGTCACTTCTCAATGAGATCTTCCCTGACCGCTCTATTTAAAATTGCATTCCTGACCGGGTGCAGTGGCTCATACCTATAATCCCAACACTTTAGGAGGCTGAGGCAGGAAGATTGCTTGAGTCCAGGAGTTCAAGACCAGCCTGGGCAACATAGTGAGAATCCATGTTTAAAAATACATAAATAGGGCCGGGCGCGGTGGCTCAAGCCTGTAATCCCAGCACTTTGGGAGGCCGAGACGGGCGGATCACGAGGTCAGGAGATCGAGACCATCCTGGCTAACATGGTGAAACCCCGTCTCTACTAAAAATACAAAAAACTAGCCGGGCGAGGTGGCAGGCGCCTGTGGTCCCAGCTACTCGGGAGGCTGAGGCAGGAGAATGGCGTGAACCTGGGAGGCGGAGCTTGCAGTGAGCTGAGATCCGGCCACTGCACTCCAGTCTGGGCGACAGAGCGAGACTCCGTCTCAAAAAAAAAAAAAAAAAAAAAAAAAAATACATAAATAGGCCGGGCGCATTCTTGGCTCACGCCTGTAATCTCAGCAACACTTTGGGAGGCCGAGGCGGCGGATCGTGAGGTCAGGAGATCGAGACCATCTGAGGTCAGGAGATCGAGACCATCCTGGCTAACACAGTGAAACCCCATCTTTACTAAAAATACAAAAAAAAGTAGCCGGGCGTGGTGGTGGGCGCCTGTAGTCCCAGCTACTCGGGAGGCTGAGGCAGGAGAATGGTGTGAACCCGGGAGGTGGAGCTTGCAGTGAGCTGAGGTTGCGCCACTGCACTCCAGCCTGGGTGACAGAGCGAGACTCTGTCTCAAAAAAAAAAAAAAAAAAGAAGAAGAAAAGAGATGTTAGCTCAGCTCAACTCAGCCTGAGGCTGGGGCAGAATTAAATGGTCACTAATCAAGCGCTTCATCAGTTACTTTGCCCAGGCCTGATCCCTAGGAGTCTGGTGTAAGTCAAACCAGGCCTGGGGAGGAGCCACAAACCTGAATTTCCATCCTCTTGGCTGTGGTCTCCCTACGGTGAACGTAAGGCAAAATGATCATCCTTAGCCCCTTCTGTGTCACACGAGGATTAACGAAGGGATTCTGCTTGATCTTTCACCATCGATTAGGCCTAGATGCTGTAAAATTAAGGTCACTTTACAGAAAACTGATTAAGATGCAAATGATTTCTGCCCAGTGAATAATACAAGCCTTAGGGTTATGAGACCTTTTATTTTACTTTAAATTTTTAAATTCTTTTTTTTGAGACAGTGTCTCACTCTGTCGTCCAGGCTGGAGTGCAGTGGTGCCATCTTGGTACGCTGAAACCTCAGCCTCCCAGGTTCAAGTGATTCTTGTGCCTCAGCCTCCCAAGTAGCTGGGATTACAGGCATGCGCCACCACACCTGGCTACTTTTTATATTTTTAGTAGAGACCGGGTTTTTCCATGTTGGCCACTCTGGTCTCAAACTCCTGACCTCAGGTGATCTGCCCACCTCGGGCTCCCAACGTGCTGGGATTACAGGTGTGAGCCACTGTGCCCAGCCCAGGTTATGGGATTTTAAAAATAAATGCCGTATAGAATATTAACCAATTTTGTATGTAATTTAGCAATCTTTTATCATTATCCCTTCCTTTCTCCGCCTTGACTATATATGTGTCAGATTTTTTTTTTTTTTTTTGAGGCGGAGTCTCGCTCTGTCGCCCAGGCTGGAGTGCAGTGGCCGGATCTCAGCTCACTGCAAGCTCCGCCTCCCGGGTTCACGCCATTCTCCTGCCTCAAGACTCCCGAGTAGCTGGGACTACAGGCGCCCGCCACTGCGCCCGGCTAGATTTTTGTATTTTTTAGTAGAGACGGGGTTTCACCGTGTTAGCCAGGATGGTCTTGATCTCCTGACCTCGTGATCCGCCCGTCTCGGCCTCCCAAAGTGCTGGGATTACAGGCTTGAGCCACCGCGCCCGGCCTATATGTGTCAGATTTTTGTATTCTTTTCTGCAACCCCATTGGTGGAGGAGGGTTGGGGGCTCCCAGGAGGCCCTGGGCCACAGGGCTCCTGCGTTGGGGGTGAAACTAAAAATCGATATGTATCTCCAGTCCTGAGGCGTGTAGGATGCAGGCCCTTGGGGAGTTGCCACCACCTCTCTCTGCCCCCAACCCCATGACTTACGAAGGGGAAGGGTCTTTTCCAAGGTTACCAGATGGTTAGTGGCTTTTCCCCTATCCCTCCCCCACTGACACCCCAGTATCCTTCTGCACTTTGGAGTTACAGCAGGTACCCGGATCATCTGGGGAGGAACTGTGGCCCCTTTCCAGCCCCACCCCAGTGCTTATCTTGGGAACATCACCCTTGAGCTCTCATCTCAAGGCTGACAACAACCAGGTCTGGAACCTTCTGTAAGGGGCAGGGGGAGGGCAGGGCCATGTCAGGGAGGGGTAGATCCAGGATGGGTGAACTGAGGGAGTGGGGGTGATGTCAGAGGGTGGCTGAGGGGCTGAGCTCAGTGTGGACGTGGTGACCTCCTGCTCCCCACCTGAGCCCAGGGCCCACAGACACTTGGCGGAGCTGAAGCTCAGCTTCTAAGTTTATTTCCAGGATCTAGGGAGAAGCTGGCTGATGGAGTGGCCTCCCGAGGAGGTGTCCGACCTCTGACCTGGGGCCTAGCCAGGCCTGACTCTGGTCTCTGTGGCTGTGGGGCAGGTCAGGCAGCATGAAGAGGAGACCTGCCTTCCGGGGGTTTGGGTCACTGCAGGCAGAGACAGCTAGAGTGAGCAGTGTGGGGCAACCGCCTCTTCCCTCCCCGCTGCCACGGCTGCCCGAACACCTGAGCAGAGCCACCTCCAGCAGGGCCTGGGTTTCCTCCTGCAGGGCCTTCACTTCATCCTGGATGGCCTGGGCCGCCTCCTGGATGGCCTGGGCTCCCTCCTTCAGGCTCTTATACAACAAGGTGGGCTGGACAAAGGGTTGCAGGGCCCGAGGTGGGTAGCCTGCTGTGCAGGCCAACCCGAGGCCCCTCTAGGAGAGCTGGGCTGGGAGGCAGGGAGAAGGCAAGACAAAGAAAGGGGGTCCTAGCTCAGGGTCTCACCAGGTTTTGCAGCTTCTCCCCCAGGGCCAGGTTGTGCACTTGGGTGGTGTTCAGTGACTCCCGAAGCCTAGGGTTGAAAAACAGACCCCTCCCACCTCAGCCCCCAGGCTTTTGTTCCAGGCAGCACCCCTCCCCCCACCTCCTGCATCAACCACCTGGTCCTATAGCCACCTGGGACCAGTGTTTCACTAAGAGCCCAGTCCTCCTGTCCCAGCAAAACCACAGGTGGGACGAGAATGTTCTCCCTGAGTGATTGGTAGCAGGGGACCCAGAGAAAGACTAATTATGCTTTTTGCCTTCCTTTGCAAGAGCAGGGCAGGCTGCCTCTGGGTGAGCTAGAAACCCTCTCAGGCTCCTCTTGGAAGGGGTGGGTGGTAGAGGGCTAGCCGCTCCTTTGGGCTGTAGGCAGGGTTAAGACAGGATTCTCTGTGGCTCCAGGCCAGTGACAGGGTCAATGCTGGAACAAGCCCTGCCGAGGGGTATGAATGGGAGGGCTGATCACTCAGGTCTATGGCCTGGACGCCTCTGTCATGCCCCGCCCCCACCTCAGGACCTCTGCTGACAGATGGGGCTCTGACTCCAGCATTACCCGAGAGGGGTGAGTGGCCACGGGATTGTGCAGACCCCAGCTCCAGGGCCCGACATCTGGGGAACAAGCCCCTCCCCGAGACTGAACGCTCCTCAAGTTCTTGGACAATTAAAGGTGGGGGTTCCTGAATGCCTGCTCACCAGGCATGTGGGCCCTGACCTGAAAGCCAGACCTGGCCTCAGTTGGGGGCAGCCCTGTCACCCTATCTGCCCCCATCTGCCCGCCCAGCTCACCTCATGCAGTCATTCTGCAACTGCCTGATCTCCTTTGAGGTCCGCTGGGGGCCCCAGTCTTCCTGATCTAGGAACTGGTACTCCTGGACCTCCGAGTCCCTGGAGCAAGTGGGCAGTGAAGGTCAGGCCAGAGGGTCTAGGGGATGAGGGAGGTGGGTGGGCAGTGTGGGGGTGCCCAGCCAAAGGCCCAGGTTCCAGCAGGCCTCTTTGGGCCTCCTCTCTGCACGGGCCAGGGCTGAGTCCTGGCCCAGGTTTGAATGTTTCTGGGTATGGGGTGGGGAGAAACACCATCCGCCTCCCCCAGTTTTGCGCGTGCCTGCATGCTCCTGCACGTGCACACACTCTCTCTCTCTCTCTCATGCAGCCTTACGATTCAGGGTCTTTGGGCTCAGTGGGCTCAGATGTGTTCAGGAGTGTAAACAGGAACGTGACGGTGGGTTCCAGTTGTTCTGAGCAAGGTGGCTTTGTAGAGAAGGTGCCAAGGTGACTGGAGAGGGTCGAGGCTGCTCACCCAACAGCCCGGGTCCTCCCACGCCCCCCATCCTTGCCATCTCCCTGCCTTTCAGGGGCCCCATCTTCTGTGTCCCCCACCCTGTAGAGAAAGCGTGGTAGGAGGTGTGAATGGAACCTGTCCAGGAGGCCCTCCAGCGCTGAACTCCCCTGCACCCATTCCTCAGCCCTGAACCCAGGAGCTGGGCCTGGACGCCCTGACAGCTGGGGGTTGGGTGTGACGACGGGGGTTCAGGCCTCCATTCAGACACAGGAAGAATTTCTCCAGCTGTCCTGCCTTCCCTGCCCGCCGCCTTGGGAGGCGCTGGGGTTTCCGTCACCTCCGAGTTCCGCTTCTCGGAAGCCTGAGGGTCCTTGGGTTCCTGCTCCTCAACAGGCTGCACCACTCGCTCGTTGGCCAGCTTAGAGTGGGCTTTTTGTCTGCTCCTAAGAGACTGAGAGAGACAGAAGCCTGCTAGTCACCCACACCTACCATCCCCCCACGCCCTTTCTAGCCTGGTCTGTTTTTTGTGGGGCAGCTTCCAGCCTGGGGAGCGTCTATCACCAGCTTTATCCAGCATGCCAGACCCCCCTCAAAGTGAAAGTTGCCAGATTTAGCAAATACAATACAGCCTACCCAGTGAAACCTGAATTTCAGCTGAAAATGGAGACTTTTTCAGTATCTGTCTCACATAATGTTTGGGATATACTTACACTAAAACACGATTCACTGTTCATTTGAAACTCAAATTTAACTAGGTGTCCTGTATTTTATCTGTCAGTCCTACCAAACTACATGCTAAAAATATTTTGAGGCTGAGTGCAGTGGCTCACGCCTGTAATCCCAGCACTTTCAGAGGCCAAGGCAGGAGGATCGCTTGAGCCCAGGAGTTGGAGACCAACCTGGGCAACATAGCAAGAACCCATCTCTACAAAAAATTTAAAAATTGGCTGGGCATGGTGGTGTGCACCTGTAGTCTCAGCTACTTGGGAGGCTGAGGTGGGAGAATCACTTGAGCCTGGGAGGTCGAGGCTACACTCAGGTGTGTTTGCATCACTGCACTCCAGCCTGGGCTTCAGAGCAAGACTCTCAGGAAAAAAAAAAAAAAAAAAAAAAAAGGCTGAAGTTAATAGAATTGTGGCTATTTTTCACCCTGGTATTTTTCAGAATCCTGTGCATCTACTGGCCAAGTAACCACAGACAAGGTCCTTCTTCACACTGAGTCCACCTGCCCCTCTAGATCCCCATGGACTTGTGGCAGGGGGCTTGTGGCTGCCCCTGTTATACTGTTATATTGTACCTTTCTAGGCAGCCTAAAATTACACAATTCCTGAGCATGTGATATAAACCGACAGCTCTGCAGAGGGCCCGTAACCCTGGAAAGTCCCTGAGCTCCAGCGTGGTATGACTGCTGGAGAATAGGCAACTCTGTCACCAGGGGAACCTGGCTGCGTATAACAAGATCCACAGAATGATGGAGAGTCGTGCCTCTGAGAACCTCACTTCGGAAACGGCTTAAAGAAACAACTCCGGGCCGGGCGCGGTGGCTCAAGCCTGTAATCCCAGCACTTTGGGAGGCCGAGACGGGCGGATCACGAGGTCAGGAGATCGAGACCATCCTGGCTAACACGGTGAAACCCCGTCTCTACTAAAAATACAAAAAACTAGCCGGGCGAGGTGGCGGGCGCCTGTAGTCCCAGGTACTCGGGAGGCTGAGGCAGGAGAATGGCGTAAACCCAGGAGGCGGAGCTTGCAGTGAGCTGAGATCCGGCCACTGCAGTCCAGCCCGGGCCACAAAGCGAGACTCCGTCTCAAAAAAAAAAAAAAAAGAAAAAAAAAAAGAAACAACTCCAAATAAAAGTAATTCACACGGATGACCACAGTAGCTGATTTGCACCATGAAGAAAAGCTGCAAGGGGCCTAAAAGGCCCAAATATAAGAAGTGGTAAGGAAACAAAGACTTCTTCACGTGGTAGGACACAATTCACTCATGCGCTTACTGGTCTCCTGTAAACATTGCCTGTGGCATAGGCCTTGGGAACATATAGATGGACACAACCTGGTTCTGCCCAGGAGAAGTTCCAGAGGATGAGGGAGGCCCCAGGTTTGCAGCTGACAGTACGGGCGGATGAGCCACACAGAGGTCTGTACAGAGCCCTGGCTGCAAGAGGAAGGAGTCACGCACTCTGCTTTGGAGTTCCAGAAAGACTGCACACAGGATGTGCCGCCTGGTCTCAAACAAAGATGCAGGGGAAAGCAGAAGAAGGAATGGTGTAAGCAAGAGCCATGGGGTCCTGCAAAGGGCCCATGGCAGGGCCTGGGCTATAGCCCACAGGGGACGAGGAGGCATGGGGATCATTTTGTGTCTGTCTATGTGGGCTGTTTGGCATAGTTCAGAGGATAGGTGGAAGGAGCAGACACTGGGGGCAGGATGCCAAGGGCCTTGGAAGTGAAGAAGAGAGACAAGCCACTAACTGCTGCATGTGACAAGTGTCTAAACTGTGTTAATCCTGGAGAAGGTATGCATGAGACCCTGTCACACCACAAAAGAGGATCTTACAGTGGTATGAGCTGGGTACCAGTGTACCCACATAGGGTTGCCAAATAAAACACAGAATGCCAGGTTAAATTGGGATCTCAGATAAATGATGAATTTTTTTTGAGACTTTATTATTTATTTTTGAGACAGGGTCTCACTCTGTCACCCAGGCTGGAGTGCAGTGGCATCCTCATGGCTCACTGCGGCCTCGACTTCCCAGGCTCAGATGATTCTCCCACCTCAGCCTCCCGAGTAGCTAGAACTGCAGGCCTGCCACCACACCCCGCTAATTTGTGTATTTTTTGTAGAGATAGGGTTTCACCATGTTGCCCAGACTGGTCTCGAACTCCTGGGCTCAAGCGATCCTCCTGCCTTGGCATCCCAAAGTGCTGGGATTACCGGTATAAGCCACTACACCCAGTCCGATTGAGAATTTCTTCTCCAAAATGCCTATCTAGAAGTGTTTTGGATTTCAGATTTCTTAGGATTTGGGAATATTAGCATTATCTGAAAATCCAGAATCCAAAATGCTACAGTGAATGTCAGGGCAGTGCTCACAGTTTGGGATTTTGGATTTTCTTTTTTCTTTTTTTTTGAGATAGAGTCTCGCTCTGTCGCTCAGGCTGGAGTGTAGTGGTGCAATCTCAGCTCATTGCAAGTTCCGTCTCCCAGATTCATGCCATTCTTCTGCCTCAGCCTCCTGAGTAGCTGGGACTACAGGTGCCCGCCACCACACCTAGCTAATTTTTTGTATTTTTTAGTAGAGATGGGGTTTCATCATGTCAGCCAGGATGGTCTCAATCTCCTGACCTCATGATCTGCCCGCCTCCTCCTGACCTCATGATCTGCCCACCTCGGCCTCCCAAAGTGCTGGGATTACAGGTGTGAGCCACTGCGCCCGGCCAGGATTTGGGATTTCCAACCCACATATTTATACCCCATATGTGGCATGGGACATAGTTGTACTAGAAAACTATTATTTCTCTGATTTGGGAAACGCTTATCTTTTTTTTTTTTTTGAGACACAGTCTCGCTCTCTTGCCCAGGCTGGATTGTAGTGGCGCAATCTCAGCTCACTGCAACCTCTGCCTTCAGGGTTCAAGCGATTCTCCTGCCTCAGCCTCCTGAGTAGCTAATTTTTGTATTTTTCTTAGAGACGGGGTTTCACCATGTTGGTCAGGCTGGTCTCAAACTCCTGACCTCGTGATCTGCCTGCGTTGGCCTCCCAAAGTGCTGGGATTGAGGCAGGGTCATGCTTATTCTTAAAAAATTGTGTTGTTTATCTAAGATTCAGGCTTAAGTGGGCATCTTGTATTTTTTGCTAAATCTAGCAACTCTAACACCACGGACACATGTTGGTGCCCATCAGAGGACACTGGAAGGCATGAAAAGCTCCATGATTACCAGTTGGTACGTGAGGAAGATGAGCAGATAGACAGACAGACAGGACTGGGGTCCTCTCAGGGTCCCACCAGCCAAGCACAGACAGGTGCTTAATTCAGACTTAGACAGAAGATAGCTCAGGACCCGGATTTGAGTCCTGCTCTGCTGCTCATAGGTGGGGCAGCTGCAGGAACTCAGGCTCAGCTTCCTAGCCTGTGAAATGGGTATTCAACTCCACAAATATTGATTGAGCCCTAACTTTGTTCAAGGCCCTTTGCTCAACGCTGAAAGGGTACAAAAATGAATCTCCTCCTTTGAGGTTTAATCACAGGCTGTGTAAAATGCTACTAGCCATCAGTGATGAGGAACTCTGCTGGTTGCTTTGCATATGACATCAACCTTGAAAACAACCTCCCGACCAACTCCGTTAGAGAGATGGAATTGGCCCCACTTTTCAAAAGAGAAAACCAGGGCTCGAGAAGAGTCACAGATGGGGGTGTACTGATCCCCAAGCAGGTGGCTATCAGGGAGCCTGCCAACCTGTCAGCCACACTGTGGAGAGGGGAAGGCAGCCTGGTCTAGGCCCACATGTTGGGAGAACCACCAGGCCTGAGCTAAAGCCTCATCTCAAGGGGTGGTGGGCCACCGGGCTGAGGAGGACCTAGGCAAGGAGGCAGGGGTCCGTAGGCTGTGTGGGGAACTGCCCTGTGGAGAGGGAGGGTGAAGTTCATTCTCCAAGAAATAGGGACAGGTGTGAGCCAGGGGTTCAGACCTCATATGCACATTAGTGGGACTAGAATTTTGGTGTGGGAGGCTCATGCCTGAGGCAGGGTGCCAGGCGCCATCACTCCTGACTCCACCTGTGCCCCTCCTACCGGGCACTCAGAGGCTCTCTGAAGCCCCTGTCCCCAGCTCCCACTGGAGGGGCACACCTGCCTAGGCTGGTGAGAAACCACCACACCCACTTACTCCATGACGTGTCTGGACACTGGGAGAACAGAGACAAATAGGACCCTGCCTCCAGCCTGAGCTGGAGTTGACACAGCTACTGTGTAAACGTGTGTGCAGAGCAGACAGAATGGAGCTTGAAGGTGCTATGATGGAGGTTTGTGTGGACTTCTGGGATTTCTGGGACTTAAAAAGGGAGGGAACGGTCAGTTCTACTTGAAAATTGTTCATTGAGCACTCACCATGCACTAAGTGCTTTACTTGTATTATCTCATTGTTTTTTTTTTTTTGAGATGGAGTCTTGCTTTTTCACCCAGGCTGGAGTGCAGTGGCACGATCTTGGCTCACTGCAACCTCCAGCCCCCGGGGTTCAAGTGATTCTTCTGCCTCAGCCTCCCGAGTAGCTGGATTACAGGTGCCCACTACCACGCCCAGCTAATTTTTGTATTTTTAGTAGAGACGGGGTTTCATCATCTTGGCCAGGCTGGTATTGAACTCCTGACCTCAAGCAATCCACCCACCTCAGCTTCCCAAAGTGCTGGGATTACAGGTGTGAGCCACCGCACCCAGCCGGCCATCTCATTTTTAAACACTGTGGCACAGGTATTATTATTGTCCTCATTTTACAGATAAGTAAACTGAGGTACAGCAGAGTCTAATTATTATCATTTGCCTGGGGTCATACAGCTAGAAGCTGGCAGAGCCAGGATTCAAACCGGGTTGGATTGCAGAACCTGTGCTCTTTGCTTTCACCGGGTGGGGCAGGTGGGGAGGAAAGACTGAGCAGGGGTGGCGTGTGAGCCAGACTTAATGACGCAGGGCTACCCAGGTGACGCAGGAGTGGGAAAAGACACAAGAGGCAGAGAGCAAAGGTTCAGAGGCAGGGACCTCCGAGCAACTCGCAGCCTGCGTTGGGTCTATGGGCTGAAGCCTGGACACCAGCCTTGGCCTGGAGTCCTCATGAGCCCCGCTAAGGTGTCAGGAGCCCCCTAGACCAGCCAGGGTTCTGGGGTGCAAACAGGAAACAATGCTGGCTGATTTGAGCAAAAAGGAGTTTATTGGGAGGATGCTGGGGAGTCACAGAACTCATGGAAAGAAGAGACTTCAAAGGGCAAGCACTGTAGGGCGCCGACTGCCAGAACCAGGACGGGGGAGGGCCTGCAGACGAGCAAACACACATTTCCCCCACCAGACACTGCTGGACAGGCGGTGCCTTCATCCCTGCTCACACCCATTGCTCAAGGTGGGGAATCTGATCAGCTTAGGTCCTGGTTGCGGGGATCCACCAGCGAGCATCCATTCTACCGCAGCACGGAGCATGGGAAGTCAGCAGAGGTTTCTGTTTTGGCTGGAGAGCAGTGGCACAATATTGGCTCATCACAACTTCCACTTCCTGGGTTCAAGCCATTCTCCTGCCTCAGCCACCCAAGTAGCTGGGATTACAGGCAACCGCCACCAGGCCCAGCTAATTTTTCTACTGTTAGTAGAGACGGAGTTTCACCATGTTGGCCAAGCTGGTCTTGAACTCCTGACCTCAAGTGATCCGCCAGTCTTGGCCTCCCAAAATGCTGGGATTACAGGTGTGAGCCACTGCACCTGGCCCAATTTCCTTCTTTTTAAGGCTGAATAATATTCCACTATATCGATAGGTCATACTTTATCCATTCAGCTGCTGGTAGACATTTGTGTTTCCAGCTATTTGGTTATTGTTGAATAATGCTGCTAGGAACATGGGTGTACAAATCTATTCCAATCCCTGCTTTCAACTTTCTCTGGTCTTATTACACTCAGATGTGAAATTGTATTAAAAGGTTTTAAAGGTCAGGCATGGTGGCACACGCCTGTAGTCTCAGCTACTTGGGCGGCTGAGGTGGGAGGATGGCTTGAGTCTGAGAGGTGGAGGTTGCAGTGAGCCCAGATCACAATACTGCAGTCCAGCCTGGGCGACAGAGCCAGACCCCGTCTCAAAAAAAACCAAAACAAACAAACAAAGGCAGGGGTTTTGGCTGGGCATGGTGGCTCACACCTGTAATCCCAGCACTTTGGGAGGCCGAGGATGGTGGATCACCTGAGGTCGGGATTTCAAGACCAGCCTGACCAACATGGAGAAACCCAGTCTCTACTAAAACTACAAATCAGCTGAGTGTGGTGGCACATGCCTGTAATCCCAGCTACTCAGGGGCTGAGGCAGGAGAATTGCTTGAACTCGGGAGGCGGAGGCTGTGGTGTGCCGAGATTGTGCAATTGCAGTCCAGCCTGGGTGACAAGAGTGAAACTCAGTCCCCCCCCAAAAAAAGAGTTTTAAGGAGAGGAGAAATAGTCCCAGCATGCCAGCCATGGTGATTCACACCTATAACCCCAGCATTTTGGGAGGCCGAGCTGGGCGGATCACCTGAGGTCAGGAGTTCAAGACTAGCCTGGCCAACATAACGAAATCCCGTCTCTACTAAAAATAGAAAAATTAGCCAGGCATGGTGGCGGGCATCTGTAATCCTAACTACTCGGGAGGCTGAGGCAGGAGAATTGCTTGAACCCAGGAGGTGGAGGTTGCAGTTAGCCGATTGTGCCACCACACCCTAGCCTGGGCAACAAAAGTGAAACTCCATCTCAAAATTAAAAAATTAAGGAGGGAAGAGACAGGATCGTATTGTGTGTTTTAGGAAATATGTTCTAGCTGCAGTGCAGACAGTGTGGAGACACAGCAGCCAAAGGGAAGCACCCATAGGAGGCTAGTGCAATTGTCTGGTGACTGTGGAGTGGGGGGATGTTGAGGGGGATGGGGCTGGCCAGATGGGGTGAAGGAAGGAGCTGGTCCTGGGTTCCTGGCCTGCGTGACTGTGTCAGCTGGTGGCTCTGCTAATGGCACAGAGAACACAGGAGTAAGCAAGCTGCTGGATGAGCAGAGCTTCAGATGACTTCCTGAAAGGCAGTTCTAGATTCTGATTTGTAGCTCAGGACAGTTTTAGGTTGGAGATAAAGATGGCCAAGTCTTGAGCAAGGAGGCAGTTCAGAGAACCTGAGGCTACCTGGCAAGAGCAGGCAGGTGGGAAAGAGGGTCCAGGACTGAGGCCTGGTATCCAGACATTTCAGGAAAAGCCAAGAAAAAGGAGCTGGCAGTGCCATAGCCCCAAAGAGGGTGTGCTGGCAGAGTCCTGAGCTTGGAATACTGGACATTAGGACATCACTGGTTACCTTTGAGCTGTAAAGAGAGTGATGAGGGCATTGGGAATAAATTCAAAGCCTGAGCTGGAGTTGGAAACAGCAACTTGGAACGTTCCTTCAAGCTTAAAAGGAGGGAGTAATGGTGGTAGCTAACAACAGATGCTGGCCAACTTTTGGTGGTTTTTGTCTTTTGAGACAGGGTCTATACTCTGTCGCCCAGATTGGAGTGCAATGGCGTCATCATGGCTCACTGTAGCCCTGACCTCCCAGGCTCAGGTGATCCTCCCACCTCAGCCTCCTGAGTGGCTAGGACTACAGATATGCGCCACCACACCCATTTTTTTTTTACATTTTTTTGTAGAGTCAGGGTCTCCCTATGTTGCCCAGACTGGTCTTTTTTTTTTTTTTTTTTTTGAGACGGAGTCTTGCTCTGTCGCCCAGGCTGGAGTGCAGTGGCCAGATCTCGGCTCACGGCAAGCTCCGCCTCCCGGGTTCACGCCATTCTCCTGCCTCAGCCTCCCGAGTAGCTGGGACTACAGGCACCCGCCACCTCGCCCGGCTAGTTTTTTGTAATATTTAGTAGAGACGGGGTTTCACCGTGTTAGCCAGGATGGTCTCGATCTCCTGACCTCGTGATCCACCCGTCTCCGCCTCCCAAAGTGCTGGGATTACAGGTTTGAGCCACCGCGCCCGGCCAGCCCAGACTGGTCTTGAACTCCTGAGCTCAAGTGATCCTCCTGCCTCGGCTTCCCAAAGTGCTAGGATTACAGGTGTGAGCCACTGTGCCCAGCCTGGTTGTCATTTTTTAACAACAAAGCAAATAAAAGCCATTTAGGATTTGGCAGAAAGAGGAAGGTTTCAGAGACAAGATAATTGGATCAAAAGCCAAGGTGGAAAGGTTAGCCTTGAAGAAAGGACTCGTGTCCTCTGGGTCAGAAAAGGAGGCCAAAGTGAATTAAGTCTGCGGAAAACTTAATGGCCTTGATTTGTTTGGATGACTAGGAGGCAAGTACGGGTATGGAGGATGGGATGGGAGGCTGGTCTGTGCCACCTACATGTAGGGTCCTAGCCTTACCTAAGGCCAAGTGGGAGAATTTCCAGGCATCAGCATCTTTGAGCAGCTCCCCAGGGGTCCCACAGCACCTGCTGCTACACAGCGTCCAGTCTGGACCATGGAGTGAGCAACTCAGGCTCCTTCAAAGGGGCCTGAAAGGGAATGGGGAACAAGGGCTGGACTTGGGAGGATGTTTACTTCCCAGGCATCTCCTGTGGGCACTGGGGGAGCTCTCAGCACCCTCACCCCAGACCCGGCTTTCTTCCTCCTGGAAGAGGATCGGATTAGGGACTGGACAGAAATAAACAAGACAAAGGGCAGGACAGGCCAGGCACGGTGGCTCACGCCTGTAATCCCAGCACTTTGGGAGGCCAAATCACTTGAGGTCAGAGTTCGAGACCAGCCTGGCCAACATGGTGAAACCCCATCTCTAATAAAAATATTAAAATTAGCTGGGCTTGGTGGCAGGCGCCTGTAACCCCAGCTACTGGGGAGGCTGAGGCAGGAGAAACGCTTGAACCCGGGAGGTGGAGGTTGCAGTGAGCTGAGAGCACGCCACTGGACTCCAACCTAGGCGACAGAGTGAGACTCTGCCTCAAGAAAAAAAAAAAAAAAAGTGGGGCAGGACAGTGATCTACCATGGGGCAAATGGGGGTGAGTGGGGCTGGGAGCGCCCGGACAAAGGGACAACCCCAGTGATGCAGCCCACAGGAGGCCTGGCCTTACCCTCGGCTCTGCCTTTGACTCAATAAAAGAAACATAGTCCATGGACAGGCAGAAAATCTTTAATCAGGATTTTTTTCCAACTATAAAACAAAATCCCATTTTTTTCCTTAAATTTAGTTCCTCAGGAACAGAGAAGTTTGCAGTGATGATCTCAACTCCGCATCATCTGGTGACCCCTGATTCTGCAGAACTAAGACATTTCCCAAGAGTACTGCCACATCAGCCAGTGAGGACAAGAGTTCTTTAGTGCCGTTCAGCTCAAGGACACCTAGGCCTCCCCCGCAAGGGGGCTTGCTTGCAAGTCTGACAAAGCACAGTGTTGAGCAGATGGCCTGGGACTCCCAGGCCTGGCAGAGGGTTTTATTAGGGCCTGCCTGGCCTGCAACGTTTCTTCCAAGTACCCTGACCCAGCACTCATCTTCACTGGCATTCTCTGTTATCCATCAGCTCCTCTGCACACCTCAGTGTCTACTTCCATGAACTTATAAACATCAAAAGGTACAACGGACTGGGGTGCGGTGGGAGAGTCGGGGCAGGGCAGCCTTCGAATCCACACTATTGAATCCTCAGTATTCAAAGAAGAGAAAGATGGGGAAATTCTCCAGAGATCATGACATGCATCCAGGCAGTGTTCTCATGTGAGAGGATAGGGAGGCCAAAAACTAAAACTGCTATCAGCCCCCACCGCTGTCTGGTACACAAGGAGTTTCCGAGGACTTTACAGGTATAGTTGCAAAATGCTAGTAAGACTGGCACTCTTCAACTTTTTCTTCTAGGGCCAAGTAGACTCTGTGTAACTTATTTTGTAAGAAATGGGTGTGGGTGACAAGAGGGGCCATCTTCCACCCCTGCAGCAGAGTGGTAAGACTCCAGCGTGGGCCCTGTGCAAGGCACCAGCCCAGAGGCCGTGAGCCACAGAAACCCACAGCACCTGGTGGCCCCTTTGCTCCAAGCAGCCAGTGCCCTATCAACCTGGCATTTACCAAACATCTCAACAGCAGACCAGAACTAGAAAACACAGCTTCTTAGCCGGGCGCGGTGGCTCAAGCCTGTAATCCCAGCACTTTGGGAGGCCGAGACGGGCGGATCACGAGGTCAGGAGATCGAGACCATCCTGGCTAACACGGTGAAACCCCGTCTCTACTAAAAATACAAAAAACTAGCCGGGCGAGGTGGCGGGCGCCTGTAGTCCCAGCTACTCCGGAGGCTGAGGCAGGAGAATGGCGTAAACCCGGGAGGCGGAGCTTGCAGTGAGCTGAGATCCGGCCACTGCAGTCCAGCCCGGGCTACAGAGCAAGACTCCGTCTCAAAAAAAAAAAAAAAAAAAAAAAAAAAAAAAAAAAAAAAAAAAAAAAACAAAAAAAAAAAAAAAAAAAAAAAAAAAAAAAAAAAAAAAAAAAAAAAAGAAAACACAGCTTCTGTGTAGTACACACTTATGGTCTGAGACCCAACTAAGGCTTCCCACATCCTTCAAAACTCAGACTTCACAGGCTGAATGTCCAGCTTCTTCCTCCAAGATAGAATTGCCCTCAGCCCACGAATTCTCTCTGGGACTATTTACAGAATTGGAAGGAAAACCCACGGAACCGAAAACTTCTTTAGGCAGATGAGTTCAGGAAGAAAGCCACCAACAGAAGGCAGCTCAGGATGGAAAGGCCGAGGCTGGCAGAACCCCTGGGCCTATTTCCAAGGAGCCACCCTTCCTGGCAAGAGCAGAGGGTGCCCCTCACCTCAAGCCTCAGCCCTTTAACTTCTGGCTGGGCCAGTGATTCTCCTCCCCAGTCTGTGGCCCATCTGGAAACTGACTGTGGTACTTTGGAGAGATAGGAAGGACAGGACGACAAGAGACAGGACACCAGTGAGTGGCTGGGCCAGGCGGCCCCATTTCCTAAAACCAAGATGGCTGCCACTGCTGCCTAAGCCCTCAAAGGCAGACAGGCTTCATGCGCAGCACCAGCACACACACAGGTAACAAGACCAGGGGAGGGGACCCTAAGTGTCCCCTCCACAAGGAGGGGGCTATGTACAGGACAGGAGGGAGAGTCTGGCCAGGTGCACCCCCCACTGCATCTCATTCAACCAGGAGATCAAACTGCTCAGCAGCTTCAAACTCCGCGTTCATGGCCGCCGCCCACTCATCCAGCTCTGTTTTCTGAGGGAAGAGAAATGGGGAGCAGGTGAGTGAGAAGGGAACATGGTGGCTGGAGCATCTCACCCACACCCTGCAGGTGCTGCCTATCCCCCAAAAGAGCCAGAGCCCCAGCCGTGCACGTCTGCCAGAGCACACGGCAGAGAAAAACCCCTGCCTCTCACTCACCAAGATCTCTGGCATCTTCTTCTTCTTACGTTTCTGTTTCTCGGGTGGTGGGGAGATTCCAGGGAGAGTCATGTCTGGGGCCCAGGGCTTTGCACAGACTCTGGGGACCTCAGTGAATTTGGAGCACACCACTGGTGAGACTCCGGACAAGTCTTCTGCCCCCAGCAGCCCCTCGAAGCCAAAGCAGGACCGGCGGCCTGGGGTGGAGGTGGAGGCAGAGCCCAGGGTCTCCAGCCGGCTGTAGGAACGCCTGACTTTCTTAGACATTTCCAAGTCTCTGGCGTCCAGCTCTCCTTCCGTGGAGCTGGACTCGGCATCAGGGTTGGGCACAGGAGTGGTGGTGGGGGTGGCAGGGATGCTGTGTGTCTTGAAAAGGTCCTCTTTAGTAAGCTCCCTGCCAGGGGGCTCGTTTTCTTTCTCCAAGAGAAAGGCAATCTGTACCAGGACAGAAGAGAGGATGCCCCCAGTACTTAGTTGGACTGCTTACTTCCAGAAAAGCCTGAGAAGATTCAGCGTGGAAAGAAAGACCCACAGGACACACACTTTTTTAAGGAAGAGACAAATCAGACCCTGAAAGAGACGAGGGGAGAAGAAAACAACCCACCATTGCTTCCGAGGAGTCTGCTTTTGTGACACGAGTGGACTTGCCCCCATCTGCTGATGCTGTCGCTTGCTTCCAAAATGTGCCCAGCATCCAGCCTCCCCTCTGACCAACTCAAGCCCTCATTAGGTGTCTTCTAGACCAGCTGAGCAACCTTTTTTTGTTTGTTTTGTTTCCGGATATAGGGTCTTAACTCTGTTGCCCAGGCTGGAGTGCAGTGGCATGATCATGGCTCACTGCAGCCTCAGCCTCCAGGGCTCATGCAATCCTTCTACCTAAGCCTCTGAGTAGCTGGGACTACAGGCATGTGCCACTCTGGCTGATTTTTTTTGTTTCTTTGTAGAACAGAGGGATCTCCCTATGTTGCCCAGGCTGGTCCCAGTGACCTTCTGATTTCTCTCCACATTTCCGCCCTTGCCTTCTGTGGTCCATCTGCCACACAGCTGATGAGGATTGTCCTAAAATGTCCACTCAGTCCATAAGTATTTATCAGTCACCTGTTCTGTGCCAGGAACTGGGAATACAGCAGGGAATAAAACAGAGAAAACCCCTGCCCCATTCTAAGGGAAAAACAGATAAGAAAATTCAGTATGATGTGAGCAGTATCAAGCACTACAGGAAAACACAGAACAGGACAGAGTGCTTGGGGCAGGTTAGAATTGCAAAGAGATAAAGGTCAATACAGGCCTCACTGAGGTGACATTCTTGCTACAACTTGAAGGAGGTGTGGGAGTGACTCGTGGCCAAGTGTTCTAGGCAGTGGGAACAGAAGGTGCAAAAACCCTGAGGCCACAGCGTACTAGTCAGGGTCAAAGAACAAGAGGCCAGCGTAGCTGAAGTGAAGGAAAGAGGAAGAAACTGAAGATGAAGTTCAAGAGGTAACGGGTGGCCAGACATGGTGGCTCATGCATATAATCCCAGCACTTTGGGAAGCTGAGGTGGGTGGATCACCTGAGGTCAGAAGTTCGAGAGAAGTCTGGCCAACATAGTGAAACTGTCTCTACTGAAAATACAAAAAAATTAGCTAGGCGTGGTGGCAGGTGCCTGTAATCCCAGCTACTTGGGAGGCTAAGGCAGGAGAATCAACTGAACGTGGGAGGCGGAGGTTGTAGTGAGCCGAGATTGCGCCACTGTGCTCCAGCCTGGGTGACAGTGCAAGACTCCAACTCAAAAAAGGCCGGGCACGGTGGCTCACACCTGTAATTCCAGCACTTTGGGAGGCCGAGGCGGGCGGATCACGAGGTCAGGAGATCGAGACCATCCTGGCTAACATGATGAAACCCCGTCTCCACTAAAAATACAAAAAAATTAGCTGGGCCTGGTGGCGGGCACCTATAGTCCCAGCTACTTGGGAGGCTGAGGCAGGAGAATGGCATGAACCCGGGAGGCAGAGCTTGCAGTGAGCCAAGATTGCGCCACTACACTCCAGCCTGGGCGACAGAGTGAGACTCCGTCTCAAAAAAACAAAAAACAGGGAAGCTGAATAAATTGGTGGTCACCACTACCACTTCCTCATCCTCTGTAGCCAAGCAGTCACTCAGGTCCTGGCAACTTTATCCTGTTTGATGTACCGTGAATCTCAGTCAGTCAACAAGAATGAGTGGCCACTAGGAAAGGCAGAAGTCCCTACCCTCAAGGTGCCTATGTTCTTAGAGAGGAGAGAAAGACATCAAACATGCAAGAAAATACACTATAAGAACTGGTAAGGATCAGGCACAGTGGCTCATGCCTATAATCCCAACACTTTAGGAGGCCAAGGTGGGAGGATCACTTAAGTCCAGGAGTTCAAGACCAGCCTGGGCAACATAGTGAACCCTCATCTCTACAAAAAAAATTAGAGAAAACATAAAAAAATTAGCCAGGCATGGTGGTGTGCGACTGTAGTCCCAGCTACTTGAGAGGCTGAGGAGGATCTACAGTGAGTCAAAATCTCACCACTGTGCTCCAGCCTGGGTGGCAGAGCAAGACCTTGTCTTTAGAACTGGTAAGGCCTTGGGCCGGGCGCGGTGGCTCAAGCCTGTAATCCCAGCACTTTGGGAGGCCGAGACGGGCGGATCACGAGGTCAGGAGATCGAGACCATCCTGGCTAACATGGTGAAACCCCGTCTCTACTAAAAATACAAAAAAAAAAAAACTAGCCGGGCGAGGTTGCGGGCGCCTGTAGTCCCAGCTACTCCGGAGGCTGAGGCAGGAGAATGGCATAAACCCGGGAGGCGGAGCTTGCAGTGAGCTGAGATCCGGCCACTGCAGTCCAGCCCGGGCTACAGAGCAAGACTCCATCTCAAAAAAAAAAAAAAAAAAAAGAACTGGTAAGGCCTAACAGAATTACATAGAGAAATGTGCCAGCAATAGGATAAGGGTGATCAGGGAAGCCCTCTGGGGAGGGATGCCCTCTGAACCCAGTACTGTGTATCATCCTGGCTTTAGCTCACGCCCTTGGCTTCATGCTTCAGAATTCCTGGACTTCACGTCATTCCACTGGTCTTGGAGCCCCAAGGTAGCGCTTCTCCAAACCATTCTCCCCACAGCTCCCAGAAGGGTCTTTCTTAAAACATTCAAACTTGACTCAGTCACTACCTTACCCAGAACTCTCCAAAGGCTGCCCACAGACCCAAGAATGAAGCCCAAGTCATGAGTGTGGCTTTTGTGCCTCATCGGGCTCTGCTCGGCCTCTGAAAACATGGCTTCTTCTTTGGCCTGGAACCCTCCAATTTTTTTTTTTTTGAGATGGGGTCTCGTTTTGTCGCCCAGGCTAGAGTGCAGGGGTGCGATCTTGGCCCACTGTAACTTCCGCCTCCTGGGTTCAAGCGATTCTCCTGCCTCAGCCTCCTAAGTAGCTGGGACTACAGGCATGTGCCACTATGCCTGGCTAATTTTTGTATTTTTAGTAGAGACAGGCTACTCTACTATCATGTTGGCCAGGCTAGTCTTAAACTCTTGACCCAAGTGATCTGCCCGTCTCGGCCTCCCAAAGTGTTAGGATTACAGGTGTGAGCCACTGCACCCACCTCTACTTGTCTTTAAAGACTCAGTTTAAATGTTTCTTCTTCCATGAAACATTCCCTGAGCCACATGGTCTGGGTTAGCCACCATCATAGCATCTAGTATTCCTTATTGCAGTCCCAGTACAAAACGCTGCCATCACTGGTCATTTGTCTTTCTCCCTAGTTGACTCTAAGCCCTATCAGCTCTTCAAAGGAGTTCACATTTCTCATTCATTGTGTCTTCAGATTGTCTATTAATGAAACATCCTTTGATAATAGCTTGTGCTAAAACTGTAAAAATGTCATACACATGACTTATCTTAGAACACCCATAAATGAAAGCTAAAGGCAAAATGGATTAGAAAGGCAGTATGTGGAGTTAAGACATCGCTCAGTTTTTACATGAAGTTCCAGGAAAATGGTAGAAATACACAAGGCATAAAAAGTTAAGTGTATTAAGTCTTCAGGGAGTACTCAAGACTGGCAATGCATGCAGGTGCCCAAAGTCAAACTGTTTCTGTAGTACTGCAAAACAGCTCCCTGGGCAGATGTGAGCAGCCAATGTATGCTGTCCACCTCTAGAGTGACCCAGATTCTACTTAATTAAGTAGATGAAAGTGAACTCACCCTAGGGCTCCTGCGAGGTGACTGGACAGCTGGGACCTGCGGGGTACAATACCAATTATCTCATAGCTAGCCCCCAGTTTTGCCCGCCTACTCACCCACAACACCCTCCTTAGCTTTTACCTCTACAGCATGGGCCACGATCCTCTTTAAAACGATGGGCTTTCTGATTGCAGCCGCACTGGGTGTCTGGAGAAGAGGGATGAACGTGAGCTCAACATTAGGTGAGGGGCCACAAGGGGAGGAAGTGAGAAACCTGGGGCTCACCTTCGGCCAGATTTCAGGGAGGATGCTCGGGAGTTCAGAGCCTGATTTCCGCTGGGACCTCCGCAGAGGCTTAGTAGGAGATGGGGCCCTTGGCCCTGGAAAGAGAAAAAAGTTAAGTGGTAGAGGAGGACTCTAGACCTTAGAGTCCAGAGAACAGGTTCTAGAGACAGCGAGAAAATTCCCAAACAAGCCCGTCTAAGGGCGCCCCACTGGAGGCAGCAGCGGGAGAGAAGGGCAATCTTTCACAGGACTGCGTCCCCCAAACGGCTCGACCTCACGTCTCCCACGCGCCCTCCGCTCACCGGAGCGCTGAGCGGCTCCTCCAGACCGCGTTCGCCTCCCAGACATAACTAAGCTCGGTCTTGAGCTCCTCCAGCGCCGCCGCCCCGGGCGCGCGCCAACGGGGAAGGCCACTCGCTGCAAAAGACTTTCGAATTACCCGCCCTGCGGAGAAGGAAGCGGAAGTGACGTAGGGAGAGAGGTCCGCGGCGCTCGGGCCCCCACTCTTTTCCACCGGTCTTCACGCCTAGCGTCAGCGGAGGCGTGGCCCAGGGGTGCGATGGCGTCATCAGGGCGCGCCGCACCCGGAAGAGACGTGGCAGCGGAGGGATAATCGGGGCGGCCGGGGCTGAAGGGAGCGGAGCAAGAAGCTTGGAGAGCGTGGTCCCTGCCCTTCCTCGCCTCGAAGCATCGCTGCCGCCCTTCGGAACCGGTGCAGCGGCCGATCAGTAAACACAGAGACTGGGGTCTGTAGAGAAGGGGCGGGGCTTGGAGGGGGTGGGGCTCAGGAGAGGCCTTGGGGGCGGGGCCGGTGGTATCGGGGAGTCGCTGATGGAGGGGCCTGGCCAGGGGCGGGATCCAGAAGGATTGAGGGGTCGCCGGAGGTGGGATTTATGCAGGGGGTGTTTCCCCGCATAAGGAGGAACAGTGGGCAGAAATCTTGGGTCGGGGCGAATAAGAGAGTGTCTGGGGGAGTTAAGAGTGGAAACTGGGCTGGTGAGAGCGTAGTGGTGGCCACCAGAACCTGGCTTCCTACCAACTCAGGCCCCTTTCCCAGGATCGATCATGGGGCTTTGTAAGTGCCCCAAGAGAAAGGTGACCAACCTGTTCTGCTTCGAACACCGGGTCAACGTCTGCGAGCACTGCCTGGTAGCCAATCACGCCAAGGTGGGGCCTTCAGGGGAGCGACTGAGCGGGGCACTGGGTGGGCAAGGCGGTATTGGCTTCCTCCAAATCCATGAGGGACCCCGCGCTAGAATGTAAGCCCCACAAGGGCAAGGACTTGGTTTATTTTGTTCACTGATATATCCCCGCCCCCAAGAGAGAGTCTGGCGCACAGTATGTGCTCAATAAATATTGATTGAACAAACAAAAGGATGAGTCTCCTCTGTGACTAGAGAAAAAGAGACCGTCAGACCTTGGGGTGATAGGCCGAGCAGCCCCAGCACCAGTTGTGACATCTCTCTCCCACTCCAGTGCATCGTCCAGTCCTACCTGCAATGGCTCCAAGATAGCGACTACAACCCCAATTGCCGCCTGTGCAACATACCCCTGGCCAGCCGAGAGACGACCCGCCTTGTCTGCTATGGTGAGGCCTTGGCACCTCGGGGGGATCAGGCCATCCTCAGGGGCCAGCTTGGTGACTGGTTTCCAGGCCCTCCTCAAGCAGCAGGACAGTGAGTCCCCCAAGTCTCAGAACCCAGATTCTAGTCATATTAAAGTTCCTTACCTGCTCTGTAAGTTCAGGCAAGTTATTCTTCCTTTCTAGGCCTCACTGTCTTTCCTAAAAATTAAAGCTCCTAGTTCCTCTTTCCTAAAAATTCAGCCCTGCCAATCTGGAGGTTTGAGCGAGAGCCAGTCAAGCTTATGTGTATGCTGGTGGCCGTGACTATCAGCTAGCCAGACCGGCATGTCGCTTTCAGATATTCAGGATCCACCACTGATTCCAAGTCTAAACAGAGAGGAAGTGAGTTTCCCACGTTAAAGTTAGCTAAAAGAAGTCAGCAGACATATGTGTCATGACTTTGACCTGAATCTGGAGTAAGAGCCTTAGCTCCAGTTTTTGAAGGAGCTCATGCAAGAGGCAGCTCCATATGTGTTTCTCCTTATGAGTGCGTGTGTGTACTTGCAGGCACTTAATGTACACTGTGTGTTTAAATGAGTGTTAGTGTGTTGATTAGTACTTGGGGGTGAATGAATGGGTAAATGTATGTACGTAAACATGTGAACACAGGTGTGTTGTGGGATTACAAGAGAATGCATGGTTGAATGTGCCTGAGTGTTAGCAAACCTGTGAGTGTATAGATGTGTATGTGTGAAGGCTCCTGTGCCCATAGTGTAGATATAGTGAATGCTACTTGTGTTTGATTACGTGCTTATAAGCACATGTACATGTGTGCCCAGGGATGTGTACATGCATATGTGTGCCTGTGTGTATATCAAGGAACCTTTTCTGAAACTGTTCATTATTAGCCATTAGCCCAAAGAGTATGATGAGTGCAGGCCCAGAGAGGACTCACTGAAAGGAGAGGTGGCATTTCTTCCCACCCAAACTTACCCCTGTGAGCTGGACAGCTTGGTAGCACTGCCTGGACTTAGATGGTGATAGCCAAGAAGACTGATGTTTTAGGGAACAGGACGGGGAGGAGAAGGCTCTGGCACACACGTGTGTCCATATGTCCTGCAATGGTTTGGGGGCTATTGCTAGGCTAGGAGCCCTAAGTGTCTTCTTCCTCATGTCTCTTCTCCCCTGTCTCATGGGTCCTAAGATCTCTTTCACTGGGCCTGCCTCAATGAACGTGCTGCCCAGCTACCCCGAAACACGGCACCTGCCGGCTACCAGTGCCCCAGCTGCAATGGCCCCATCTTCCCCCCAACCAACCTGGCTGGCCCTGTGGCCTCCGCACTGAGAGAGAAGCTGGCCACGGTCAACTGGGCCCGGGCAGGACTGGGCCTCCCTCTGGTGAGAGTCCCTCTGTCTGTCTGACCATCCATCTGCCCTGGGCCCCACCTGAGCCAGATGGGTGGGGACAGTACTAAGCAGCCTGGTGACCCAGATTCCTTCCTCCAGATCGATGAGGTGGTGAGCCCAGAGCCCGAGCCTCTCAACACATCTGACTTCTCTGACTGGTCTAGCTTTAATGGTAAGTGGTGGCTTCCACCGACTGTCTGGGCTTTAGCCTCCCTGCTCTGCTGACAGCTCCCTTGGTCTACAGTCACATGCTCTACCCCTGAGCTCTACCCACTACTTCTGCTGATGGCTCTCTTTCCGCCCACAGCCAGCAGTACCCCTGGACCAGAGGAGGTAGACAGTGCCTCTGCTGCCCCAGCCTTCTACAGCCAGGCCCCCCGGCCCCCGGCTTCCCCAGGCCGGCCCGAGCAGCACACAGTGATCCACATGGGCAATCCTGAGCCCTTGACTCATGGTGAGCCTGGGAGTGACCCAGGCCGCGGAAGGATAGAAAGAGGGTGGTGGAGTGGTTTGTGTACGGGGATCTTGAGGATCCAGAGAGAGACCCACCTGGAGGAACCTGTCCTCAATCCAGGCACAGCCATTACCTCCGCACGATTCTGAGATACTCTGTTAGACTGAGGAGGGCAGGTGATCCCCCTAGCCCTCCCAAAGCGGCCAGTTTTCCTGAGTCTATTGGTGCTAGTGGCTCCACCCTGTAGCCCCTAGGAAGGTGTATGATACGCGGGATGATGACCGGACACCAGGCCTCCATGGAGACTGTGACGATGACAAGTACCGACGCCGGCCTGCCTTGGGTTGGCTGGCCCAGCTGCTAAGGTACACAGGGTCAGGCGGGCAGAATGCCGGGAAGGGGTAGAGAGGGAGTGGGAACCAGAGGCCCTGGGAGGGACAGTTTCATGACCAAAGGGGCTTGTTCTGGGGAGTGACAGTACCTGGTGCTGGGGCTGTGCAGAGGCCTTGGCTGTGCAGCAGAAGCTGTGGTTTGCTTCTCTCTGGGGCTGTCTCAGTGCCTCCTACACAGGAGGTTTGGACTCAGGCTCTTTGAGGCCCCTTCCTGAACTGACACCCCCTAATCTTTGTAACTCTCCCCGACGCCTGACACGTTGTAGTTTCCAGAACACAGTCGTGTGCCTCAGCTGGTCTGAGCTGCACAATAAGGCCCTATGGTGGCAAGTGCAGGAGTGATCATCTCTGAGGCACAGACGAGGAGATGGAGGTTCAGGAATGGGTGGTGACCGGGGCTTCTCTCTAGGCCGTGGGGGCCACCAGGGACTGGGGCCTGACCTGATTTTCCCCTCATCCCCCCAGGAGCCGGGCCGGGTCTCGGAAGCGACCGCTGACTCTGCTCCAGCGGGCAGGGCTGCTGCTACTCCTGGGACTGCTGGGCTTTCTGGCCCTCCTTGCCCTCATGTCTCGCCTAGGCCGGGCTGCAGCGGACAGCGACCCCAACCTGGACCCTCTCATGAACCCTCACATCCGCGTGGGCCCCTCCTGAGCCCCCTTGCTTGTGGCTAGGCCAGCCTAGGACTTGGGTCCTGTGGAGGAGAGGCGGGGTAATGGGGAGGCTGGGGGCACCTCTTCACTGCCCCTCTCTGTCAAGCCTAAGACACTAAGACCCTGGACCCAAAGCTGAGTCCACCAGAGTGGTTGTAGGCCGGGCCTGGAGTCCCTGCGGGTCAAGGATTTGTCTTGGCTTGCTTTCCTCCCGGGTCTCCAGCCTCCCACCCCTTGCCCCATGAAGGAGCTGGCAGGTGGAAATAAACAACAACTTTATTAAAACACCCGAGGCAGCCTTTTCGTTCAGCCTCCTCAGCCCTGTTCCGACTCCCCAGGCCTCAGTGGTTCTCCTCCCGGTACTCGATGGCCAGAAACTCCAAGGACAGGCGGTTGAAGAACATGGCTCCGTTGAGCACTGGGTGGAGGAGAGAGCCCCCCGTGATCCCCAGTACCCTTCCCTGGCTACTCCTTGCCATATCTCAGGGTTCCAAAGCTCCCCGCTCCCCCTTGTACCCTCCCCCTCCCGCCACTCACTCAGGATGGTCAGGGCAGAGCAGCGGATGTACTTGTTTTCTGTCATCTCAGCATAGAGTGACCCCATGGCGGCCCAGCAGATGCTGATCACCTGGGAGAACTGTAGGCCCATCTAGTGGGAGAGTGGCCCCCTGACACAACAGTGGGGTTTCCATCAGCCCCCTGGGCCTCCCGCAGCCAGCCCTTGTGTCCCTGCCCCGAGCCTACCATCAGGACGACCGTGTAGTGAAAGCTCATGTGTTCGTAGTGGTGGGTGATGCAGAAGTTGTGCACGTCGTTGATGAAGATGCCCAGGTGTAAGAAGAAGAGCATCAGTGCAGCCGTGGTGAGCATCATGCCTTTTGGGAAGAAGAATGTGGCGATGCGGTCTCGCAGCCGCATCTTGCCCACAGCGTAGATGCAAGTCAGACTTGAGAGCTGGAGCAAGCAGGCCCTGCCCAGGAAAAGCAGCAGTCTCTGGTTCTAGAGTGCCTGGTATGGAATAGCAGTGGGATTCTAGAACCAGGAGGACAGTGGAGGGGACAAGATTCTAGAACACAGGCTGATTCCAGCCAACACAGGACTGCCTCACAGGTGGTAGGGGTGCTCTGAATTGTGAGATCAGTGGGGGCCCATAGCAATGGCGAAGGGGCAGCAGCCCTAGTTGTCCCATACTCACTCTAGACACTTTTGTGCACATCTCAATTTTCCCACAACGGAGGCAGCGTGAACACAGTCTACAGATGAAGAACGGGCTCAGAAAAGTTGAGGGGTGTGGTCTAGATTCACAGCTAGTCTTAGGCAGATGAGAGATTAGGACCCACCTGCATAGCTGGAAGGCATTCCCAGGTGAGGGGAGGCCTGGGGTGAATCCCAGGTTTCAAGTATTTGCTCTACCCTCTGGTGGAAAGGAATTACGAGAAGGAAAGATATCAACAGATTCTTCAGAGCTGTCCCGGGATCTTCCCTGTGCCCTTCCCAGTGTGGCCCAGAGGGCACCTGGCTTTACCATTCTCTCCCCAGATGTTCTTACAGGACCCAATGCTGGTCAGCTTTCCTCTCTGCCACCTTCAGGTGCTTGGAGCATTTTCACCTCCATCAGTCCAAGAGTCCCATGAGACAGCTGGGGCTGGTGGCATAAATCCTATTTGACACTTGAGTCTGAGGCAGAAAGGATGGTCTTCCTCAAGTTGTCATAGCCAGTAAGGGAGGGAGTCAGTACTGAAACTAAGATCTGATACTACCTGAGGCTGTGCTGAGTGAGCAGGGTCAGATGCAAGCCAGAAGGAAAACATTTCCTCCATGCATGTAAGAGATAAGAGCTAGGCTGGGTGTGGTAGCTCACACCTGCAACCCCAGCACTTTCAGAGGCCCAGGTGGGAGGATTGCCTCGGGCCAGGAGTTCAAGACCAGCTTGGGAGACAGCAAGACCCCATCTCTCTCTCTTTTTTTTTTTTTTGAGACAGAGTTTCACTCTCGTTGCCCAGGCTGGAGGGCAATGGCGCGATCTTAGCTCCCTGCAACCTCTGCCTCCTGGATTCAAGCGATTCTCCTGTCTCAGCCTCCCGAGTAGCTGGGATTACAGGCATGCACCACCAAGCCCAGCTAATTTTGTATTTTTAGTAGAAACAGGGTTTCTCCATGTTGGTCAGGCTGATCTCGAACTCCCAGCCTCAGGTGATCTGCCCGCCTTGGCCTACCAGGCGTGAGCCACCACTCCTGTCCAGCAAGACCCCATCTCTTAAAAAAAAAAATTGCTGAGTGTGCTCGTGCGTGTCTTTAGTCCCAGCTACTCAGGAGGCTGAGATGGGAGGATTGCTGGAGCCCAGGAGTCCCAGGCTGCAGTGAACTATGATCATGCCACTGTACTCCAATCTGGGTGACACAGAAAAAAAGAAAGGAAAAGAAAAAAAACAAAGGTGAGCACTCCAAGGGCGTCAACAAAATATGCCAGAAAAACAGCCAGAAATGGTATAGAGTGAGATGACAGCTCCCAGGGATTGAAGCAGGAGAAGAGGAGGGAGGAGTACAGGACTTGATGTTGAACTCAGCCACCCCACTGCCTCCTGCCCAACTGTTTGCCCCAAAAGTTAGGTCCCAGGTCAGCCCAAGACCCACAGGCTGCCTCCCAGCAGTGGGCTTAGAGCCTGCACCCGCCGCCTGTGCTTGCTGGCCAGTCTCCAGACAAGCACAATAGTTCTTCAGAGCCCCATCCTAACCACATGAAAGGGGTGATGCCCCAAGGCCCAGCTGTGGTCCCACTGTTGAAACAATTGTTTGTGCCTCAGTCCTTATTTGAATACAAATGAACTTTTATGCATAAAAGTTCCTAGCTCCTAATTCTATTTTATTTTTGAGACAGAGTCTCACTCTATCGCCCGGACTGGAGTGCAGTGGCGGGATCTCAGCTCACTGCAACCTCCGCCTCCCAGGTTCAAGTGATTCTCCTGCCTCAGCCTCCTGAGTAGCTGGGATTATAGGCATGTGCCACCATGCCCAGCTAATTTTTTTTTTTTTTTTTTTAAGACGGAGCTTCGCTCTTGTTGCCCAGGCTGGAGTGCAATGGCGCCATCTCAGCTCATAGCAACCTCGGCCTCCCGGGTTCAAGCAATTCTCCTGCCTCAGCCTCCCAAGTAGCTGGGACTATAGGCATGTGCCACCAAGCCCAGCTAATTTTGTGTTTTTAGTAGAGACGGGGTTTCTCTATGGTGGTGAGGCTGGTCTCGAACTCCCGACCTCAGGTGATATGCCCACCCTGGCCTCCCAAAATGCTGGCATTACACACGTGAGCCACCACGACCTGCCTGGATGATTTTTCTTAACACTATTCTCCAACTTTTAAAAACGTTTATAGACTTCTTTGAGTAGGCCTCAATCTATACCCTTTTTCATGTTCTTAAGATTATAGTTTCATAGGCTGAAATCAAGTATTTTAAATGGTTTCTAGACATCCCATTGATTCAGAGGTCAGCAAACTTTTTCTGTAAAATAGTAAATATTTTAGGTTTGGAGGACCATGCAGTCTCTATGGTAGCTACTCAACTCTGCTCTATTTTTTTGTTTTTTGTTTTTTTTTGAGATGGAGTTTTGCTCTTGTCACCCAGGCTGGACTCACTGCAACCTCCGCCTCCTGGGTTCAAGCGAGTCTCCCACCTCAGCCTTGGGAGTAGCTGGGACTACAGGCGAGCTCTTCACCTTTGTGCACAGCTGCACTTTTGTCCAAGTCAGAACCCTGGGAGAGCAGCTCAGGAGGCTGAGGTGGGAGGGGAGGTCAAGGCTGCAGTGAGCCGAAGACAGCACCACTGCACTCCAGCCTGGATGACAGAGCAAAACCCTGTCTCAAAAAAAAAAAAACCAAAAAACAAAAAAACCAAAAAAAAAAAAAATAGGAAAAGAGAACCCTGAGAGTTATCCTCCACATTTCCACCCAGCCCTTCACTCAGCACATTCCATCAGTCAGTCACATAAGCTCTGCTGAGTCTGTCCTTTTTTTTTTTTCCAATAATAGAGAGGGGGCGGGTCTCACTATGTTGTCTAGGCTGGTATTGACCTGACCTCCCGGGCTCAGTTCTCCCACCTCCGCCTTCCAAAGTGCTGGGATTACAGGCGTGAGCCACTGTGCCCAGTCTTACAGGTTCTTAAATGTGAGTGTGTATCAGAACTACTTGAACTACTTGGGAACTTTCTAAAAAGAAGCTAGACCTGGGTGAACCCCAGAGTCTTTTTTTTTCTTCTTGCTCTGTCACCCAGGCTGGAGTGCAGTGGCACCATCCGGGCTCAAGCAATTCCCCCACCTCAGCCTCCCGAGTAGCTGGGACCACAGGCGTGCGCCATCATCCTGGCTAATTTTGGGTTTTTTTTTGAGACAGAGTCTCGCTCTGTCATCCAGGCTGGAGTGCAGTGGTGAGATCTCGGCTCACTGCAACCTCTGCCTACCGGGTTCAAGTGATTCTTCTGCCTCAGCCTCCCGAGTAGCTGGGACTACAGGCATGCGCCACCATGCCTGGCTAATTTTTGTATTTTTAATAGAGACGGGGTTTCACCATAATGGCCAGGCTGATCTCGAACTCCGGACTTTGTGATCCGCCCGCCTCGGCCTCCCTAAGTGCTGGGATTACAGGCCTGTGCCACCGCGCCCGGCCTGTATTTTTTAAATAGAGACGGAGTTTCGCCATTTTGCCCAGGCTGGTCTCGAACTCTTGGGCTCAAGCGATCCACCCGCCTCGGCCTCCCAAGCGCTGGGATTACGGGAGTGCCTCGCGCAGCTCAGCGCAGAGACTTATAATGTGCCACAGATAGTCCTGAAGGCAATTCTGATGCACGTCAGAGGACCAGGCCCTAAGTAGAACTGCGCTAGAGGCACGGTACAGAATAGTGTACATGCATTTAATCCTCGTAGCTCCCCTGTGAACTATGTACCCCAATTTTAGGAATGGGATAAACTGAGCCACTGCCCAGGTCTCGAGACAGTGGCGGGATCCCAGGAACACTCTACTCTGGCCTCACGTCCCATATCCGTCCATTGTGTCTGGGCACATATTCCGTGGGCTGCTTGCCTGCGGGAGTGCAGGTTTGGGAGCCACTACCCGTCCCCGTTCTGGGACAGCAGCAACCCCAGGCAGTTGCACAAAATGCTTCCACCTAGGAAACTGGGGGAATTCAGGACTCTCCCGGAACCTTTGCAACCGGGGAAGACAGGTGCGGGGGAACTCTAGTCTCGAAGGACCTAGGGCTGCAGGGGGACGTTTCACCTGAAGGACTGCCTCGTTTCAACAATAACTTTATGGCTCCCGGAAGTGCCTCCTCCCCGTCCCTTTCCTTCCCAGCCTCACGCCCGTGGGCTGCAGTTGGAGTGATGGCGGCAGCAGCTGCCGCCGGGCCTATCCCGGGGTCTGGACCTGGGGACTCCCCAGAAGGGCCCGAGGGGGAGGCTCCGGAGCGTCGGCGGAAGGCGCACGGGATGCTGAAGCTTTACTACGGCCTCTCGGAAGGGGAGGCAGCGGGACGCCCTGCGGGGCCCGACCCCCTGGACCCGACTGACCTGAACGGGGCGCACTTCGACCCGGAAGTTTACCTAGACAAGGTGTGTGTGCCGGGAGCGGGGGATGCGGGGATGGGGGAAGGGCACCAGGCCCCTGATATATTGATCCCCCAGATCATGCCTCCGACTTTTTGTGAGGTTGAGGGGAGCAGGGGTTCATAAGAGGACGAGCTTCGGCCAGGGAGTACGAGCAGCTCAGGCGTCTGAGGTGATATGAATAGGACTGGACTGGCCTAAGGTGATGCGGCAGCTGAGGTCTCCTGGGCTGATGTGATAGGCCCCGGATTGGGGGCGTGGCCCAAGCGTTGACAGGCGCGGGGCTGGGCTTAGGCCGAGCCCCAGGATTTCAAATGCTGACAAACACCAAACAGGGTTGAACCTAGTAACCCCTGAGCTAGGCCACGTAGGGCCCCATGCCTGGGATTCCTGAGAGCCGGCGGGGGTTTAGCGGGTGGGGTGGGGATCAGAGATTTCTTGCACTGAAAGCCTATCAGCTGCGGGCAAGGCTGAGGGACATGAGTGCCTCCTGACCCGAACACTAACCACCCAACTTCTTCAGCTGCGTAGAGAGTGCCCTCTGGCCCAGCTGATGGACAGTGAGACGGACATGGTGCGGCAGATCCGGGCTCTAGACAGCGACATGCAGACCCTGGTCTATGAGAACTACAACAAGTTCATCTCAGCCACAGGTGATCCCCACGGGGACACACCCTCCAAAGTCTCACAGCCCCCATTCTCCCCACCTGTGTTGGGAAAACCAGCAAGGGATTTAGAGGGGGGAGACTCAGATTCCAGTCTTGCCCTGACATTATTCCATTCTCACCTCCTTCCCTTTGAGCCTTCGTTGTCAGACTACTGTAGAGATAATAGCTGCTCTGAGAGAGTTGTCTTAAGTACCAAAAGAGAGAAAAGACAAAAGGAGATTATTTGTTTATTTTTTAGAGACAATGTCTTGTTCTGTCTCCCAGGCTGGAGGGCTGTAGCATGATCATGGCTCACTGCAGCCTGGACATCCCAGGCTCATGTGATACTTCTGGATCCTCCCAAAGCACTGGGATTATGGGTGTGAATCCCTGGCCCAGCTTAAAGTGAAATTTTAAAATGAAATGTATTTATCTGAAGCACTTAAAAGGCCAGGTATGGTGGCTCATACCTGTAATCCTAGCACTTTGGGAGGCTGAAGTGGGAGGATCACTTGAGCCTAAGAGTTTAAGATTGACCTGGGAAATACAGTGGGACTCCATCTCTACAAAAAAATAAAATATAAAAATTAGCCGGACATGATGGCGTATGCCTGTAGTCCCAGCTACTCAGGAGACTGAGGAGGGAGGATCACATGAGCCTGGTAGATGGAGGCTGCAGTGAGCTGTGCT